CTATTCTAGTAGTAGTGGGTCTGAAGAAGACGATCTAGCTCCACAACCAGTTACCGAACTTAGCGATGAGGACCATGCCTATATCCATACTTCAGTAGATGGGGCTACGCCACATAGCTACCGGGGGGTTCTTATAATGTGGAAGTTGGTTCTATTTGCTGAGACAGAGGATGCCTTTAGGAAAGCATGGGCAAACCTTTGCAAAGAGTTTAAGGACCAACGGCCTATTCTGAACTACCTGCATGGAATATATCTACCACTAAGGGAGCAGTGGGCACGTTATTCTATTCGCCAGTACCGAAACTTCGGCATCCGTGTAACCTCAGGGACGGAATCAAGCAACAACAACATCAAGGGCTATCTTCTTAATGGACTTAGCCACCTATATCACTTAGTTAATGTAATGCAGGATATGCTTAAGGATCAAGAAGTTCGCTTCAAGCAAGCTTGTGCACAGGATGAGATCCTCGCAAGCCGTGAGTTTATAGGGAACAGATCTGAGTACCTTGGGGAGCTTCGAACAATACTCTCATCGCAGTGTCTTGGTTTGATTACGAAGCAATACCGTCTGGCAAAGAAGGCTCTACCAACAGGTAGAAATCCATTTCCAGCGCCTCTTAGAGACTGCACAGAGGACTGTACTGTCTCTATAGAGTATGGTATCCCATGCTGCCATAAGATCTACTCTAAACTTGTAGATGGGGTACAGTTTATGAAGGATGAGGTTCACCCACGATGGCGGCTGCGGGAGTCTTCTTCCCAGGATCCATATCGACGGATCCTTGATCCGAAGATTGCAGGAAACCTCCGTGGCAGACCTAAGAACTCAATGCAGCCAGTCCCATCATCCCTATCATTAAGGGATAGCACCCAATCAAGCAACCAGCTAGCTAGACAATCACACAGCCAACTACAAAGTCAACAACCTAGCCAATTAGCAGCAGGGCGCAGGCGTGGCAGACCACCAGGAAGCCGTAATAGGACCACCTTAGCAAGGCTTACACAAGAGACAGCCAGTAGCCAGGCGCCAACCTCTTCCCAGCGGCAGACACGAAGCCAAGTAACTACTCTTAGTACTGGCCGATCAACTGGCCTTCGTTCGAATGGAAGAAGATTATAGGCAAGCATCCGTAGGACGAGGAGTCAATAGGAACTACTTAGTAGTAGTGATGAGAGTCTCAAACGTTGAGGGTAGGGGGGGCATTCTTTATTATTATATAAGAGGAAATAGAAGTAGAAATCAATTGAGATTTATAAAAGCCGTTTCAGTTTAGTTTGATAAAACCTAATTCCTCCTTAGAAGGGAAGAAAAAGACCTACCATTTGAGATTTGCAAAAGCGGTCGTTTAGATGGTTTTGCAAATCTCAAATGGGAGGAATAGCTAAGAAACGTAGGCTAGTAGGGCGGGCCGGCTTTATGTCTATGAAACGGAGGCAGGCCTCTTATGGCTGTGAAAAGGTGGGGCGTTAGCAACGCTGGCCTCACCGCCTTCGCCGACTTGTACCTGTGGGTCACCAAAATTTCTAGCCAATCACAACCTTAGAATGTGATGCGTCCCTAAGGATGATGCGTCCCTATCAATTCGTGATGCGTCCCTATCAATTCCCAATTACTAATAGTAAATTATTATTAAAGCAATAGAGGAGGAGAAATAGCTTTTACGTTAGTATTCTAACCTAATATATAGCTAGCATAATTATATCCCTAGCTTAGCATTATCTATATACTTATCCTATAAGAGGTTAACTAAGCTTATTAAGGATATAGTTAAGACTATTAGTCGGTAGGTTAGTATTTAAGTATATAACGTAGGTATTATTATTTAGGAGTAGTTTCCTAATCTATTTTTACTTAGTAGGATATCTATAACGCTAAAGCCCGAATCAATCGCGAAAAGCTTAATAGGTATATACTAACTATAGCTCTAATCAAGCTTTTTAATAAGCGGGAGATCCCTTATATTGTGAAGTAGGCGGATGATGAGCCGAATCGGCTTGTTAGGCTTGTCTAGACGTTTCTATACTCTCTCCGGATATAGAAGCGGTTCCCCGAGGTTATTAGCTTTAACAATACCTATAATACTAATCGCTTTAAGCTTCTACTCTTCCAAGCTATAAGGCAAACATGTCTTAGATTGGTATTTAATATAGCATTTAGTCTTATTAATAATAAGAGACTAGAAGGGTTTTAGTTCTTATCGCAAAGTATCTTACAACTTATTAATTAGAACTTTATTTGCTAACTAGATATTATTATTACCGACTATAATAGATAGATAAAGGTAGCTCTTAATAAATACTTTCTAAATATATAATAATAGCTTTATATTTACTATATTAACTTAAACGTTATGCTTAAAGCTAAGTAGAAGTAGCTTTAAAGCTATTCTAGTAGTAGTAGGTTTAAAGAAGACGATCTAGCTTTATAACTAGATACTAAACTTAGTAATAAGGACTATGCCTATATTTATACTTTAGTAGATAGGGCTACGCTATATAGCTACCGGGGGGTTTTTATAATATAGAAGTTAGTTCTATTTGCTAAGATAGAGGATGCCTTTAAGAAAGCATAAGCAAACCTTTGCAAAGAGTTTAAAGACTAACGGCTTATTCTAAACTACCTATATAGAATATATCTACTACTAAGGGAGTAGTAGGCACGTTATTCTATTCGCTAGTACCGAAACTTCGGCATCCGTATAACCTTAGGGACGGAATCAAGTAATAACAATATTAAAGGCTATCTTCTTAATAGACTTAGCTACCTATATTACTTAGTTAATATGATATAGGATATACTTAAGGATTAAGAGGTTTGCTTTAAGCAAGCTTGTATATAGGATAAGATCCTTACAAGCCGTAAGTTTATAAGGAATAGATCTAAGTACCTTAGGGAGCTTCGAATAATACTCTTATCGTAGTTGTTCGAATATTCGTAGGCGCACATTCAGGGGTCAATCGTGATGTGTATTGTGCTTCTTCTTTTCCTAAGACCTGTCCGTATCCCTTACGCGCCTTCTTCCGGCGTGTTCCCTGTGACTAAGCGCACCTAGCGCGGTCCTCGGCCAAACATTCCTCCTAGCGCCTTCCTGGCATCCTAGGCGCTCTGCGTGTGCATCGCTTCCAGCGCCCCTGGCCTACCACCCTTTTTGACACACCCCTTTAGCCTTCGCGGCTCGAGACCTCGGTCCTAGGGCGCTCCTGCGCGCTTCATACGCAGCAGCGGAGGCTACCCTTAGGGGTGGCAGGCCAACCGACTTCTTCCTTATTCCTCTCCTCCTTCAAAGATCCCTCCGCTCCATGCGGTCTCTGCGAGAGGGTCCCTCTCTTCGCGTAGTGGTTCCGTCTCCTTCTTCACCAAGTTGAGCTGTTTTATGAAGTCTTCAAACGGTTGCCTTGCGAGGCTCTTCGTGAGTCCGTCCGCAACAAGGTCTTTCGTTGGTGTGTGGACGACGTTGATGGTGCCGTTCTCAACCTCCTGTCTCAACCAGTGGTTGTGTATATCAACGTGACGAAGCCTCGTCTTTAGAGTCACGAGTTCCTCAGTTACTATTCGAATCGTCTGGAGGTTGTCGCACTGGATCGTTATTCCGCCGCTTGGAATCGTCGTATTAAGAGCACTCAACAGACGGCTAACGAATATAGCTTCGCGTGCTGCTTGTGAGAGGGCGAGAAGCTCTGCTTCTGTCGTTGATGTTGTGACTGTGTCTTGTTTGTTCGCTCTCCATCCGATCAATCCTCCAGCAAGCCGTAGTGCGTACGCCTGAGAGCTCTTTCGATCTAGCGAGTTATCTGCGAAGCTGGCGTCTGATGCGACTTCGAAACTCTTGTTGTTGCCATCGTACTCGAGACTAAGGAAGCAGGTGTCCAAGATGTACTGCAATACTCGATCTGCAGCGCGATGATGCTTCTGAGAGGGATTCTGGTTAAACCTCGCCAGACGGCTTGCAGCAAAGGCGATATCGGGGCGCGTCATCACCGCCAAGTATAGGATCGATCCAATCTTTCGTTGGTATGCCGTTATTTCGCTCTTTGAGGCGTGCTCCTCGGCGGGCAGTAGCTCCTCGTTCGTCATAGGTGTCGTAAATCGAGTGTTCTTCCTCTGTGATCCTTTATGTGTGCCTTGACCAATCAACCGTGCGATCTTCTGTGCGTATGCTGCCTGAGATAGCCAGATTTTCTTCTTGGCTCGGTCGCGCGTGACCTCGATTCCTAGAAACCAGTGAAGAGGGTCTCCGCCTTCCAGGTGGTACTTCTCTTTGAGCCCGTTAATGAGGCGCTCAGCAGCGTTTCTACACTCAGGGGGAAACGCGAGAACACAGTCGTCGACATAGAAGAAGAAGAGCACGCGTCCCTTCCGCCAGCAGCAATTCTCGCCTGCGACGCGTTCCATCCCCATTGCTTTCAGACCGTTCTCTAGATGCCGTTGCCACAGTAGAGGGGACCTGCGAAGGCCGTATAGAGCCTTCTTCAGCCGCAGGACCTTCCCCTGCTGCTCATGGCCCGGTGGAAACTCCATATATACTGTCTCGTCGATCGGAGCGTGGACAAAGGCATTAACTGCGTCGTACTGCAGTAAGGTAAGATCTTGCTGGGCCGCGGTGGCAATAAGGGTTCGGAACGATTGTCCAGCGAGGGTCGCAGCGTATGTATCCTTGAAAGCGTTTTTAGCCTGTTGATCTCCTCGAACAACGATCCTTGCCTTGAGTTTCTAGAGTGCTCCCTTCTCGTCCGTTTTATAGACGTATACCCACCGGCAACCCAGAATCTGGTGCCCGGCGGCTTCTCTACGGTCCACGACGACGTATGTATCCATCTCATCGTGGCTCGCGAGGTGCTTCTCTTCCGCTTCTCGGAATCCCCTCTCGTAGGGGTGGCCGTATAGATCGGCATGTTTCTGAGGCACTGGGGGTAGTACGCCTGCTTGGCTTTTTCGCTGGGGCAGAGGACGGTCCTCTCCCGGAACGCTAGAGGCCACGGTCTCAACCGCGGGCCCCCCGTCACCTGACACGGGCCTACCGTTGTAGGAGCTTAGCCCAGAGGGAAGGTCTTCCTTTACCCTCGAATCAACGTGGTTTCTTCCCTGACGGAGGTCGAAGGCACGCTCACACCCAGGGTTTCTAAGACTCCTCCTGGGCCCAGGGGCAGGGTTCATACCATTACCACGTCCGGCTACGGTGAGACCTTCGAGTCTGTTGTTCCAACATACTACCGCTTCCAGGCTGGTATCGGCGTTCTTCGCCTTTTGCTTCATCTTCACTCGTTTTCTACCCGTTCTGGTGCCGCCGAGGAAAGCGGCTTGCCAGGAGGTACGCGGAGTGGTAATTGGAAACTCTTCGTGGATCGATTCGCGTGCATGAACCGCCTCAGGAGCGATCGAAGCACGTCTCTTCCTCCACCCCTTCACTCCGAGTGCCTCCTCAAGGCCTGCGAAGAACGAGGTGGGTGGCGTCCGCGGTGGTGTATTGAGTTCGAATCGTGACTCCACGTACTTAGGCGACGGCGGTGCGGTGTATTCTTGTGCCTCTTCGTCTTCAATGTACTGGACTTCATCGACTTCTTCGTCTGCGGTGTGTGCGTACTCTGGAGATGTTATCCCTGTGGGCGAGACCTCTAGTCGCGCGAGAAGAGCGTTGAGCTCGTTCACGTCGAGGTCTTTGAGGTCATCCCGCAGCTCGTTGATATCTCCATTAAAGAACTCGGTTTCCCTGAACACAACGTCTCGCGTTGTGATAACGCGGGCAGTAAGCGGATTCCACACGCGGTAGGAGTTGCTAGTACTGTACCCAATGAGGTAGCCTATCCATCCTCTCGGTTGAAGCTTTCTCGACTTATTCCTGCCCAGCTGTGCGTCTGTTGTGAGCGCATACATTTTGCAGCCGTACGCTCGAAGGTGGGCTTGATGAGGCTTCCCGAGATCTGGGCCGCGAAACTGATTATGGAACCGTTCGAAGGGCGTTTTCCAGCCGCGCGCCGCTGACGGCGTCCTGTTGTATAAATACGTCGCGGCGACAACGATTTCGGGCCACAGCATCTCAGGGAACTTGCCTGCCTCGCGAAGGGTCCTAGCCTTCTCCTTGATAACTGCTGCGATTCGCTCGGCGCCTCCGTTCTGGGCCTGCGTATTGGGCGCAGAGGGTTCGAGGACCACCCCTTGAGATTGAAGGTGAGTGGCGACTTGCTGATGAATCGTTGCAACCTCGCGGTCACATTCGAAGACTTTGACCTGTATATTATATTGCGTCTTCATCATGGCCATGAAGAGATCGAATACCTCGAGGAGCGTCTCTGTTGTACGGTCCTTAAGGTAGTAGTCCCACGAGTATCCTGTTAGTCGGTCAGAGAGTATTACCGTAGACATATAGCCTCCGTATCCTTGAGGGCTAATCGAGTGAAAGTCGAACGCCACTCTTGATCCTGGTTTTGCCCACGCTATAGACTCGCGTGGGGCACGTCGAACAATTCGTCTTGTCTTCCCTTTTCCACACGCTGAGCAGTCAGGCAGCTTGTTGCGTAGGTCACCCATGATCTTCACGCCTCGAGAGGCGTTGACGAGGTGCTCCAGCACCCCCTCGCCCGGGTGACCCAGTCTCTGGTGCCATCTGAACGGTCTTCCTGCGAGTCTTTTGCGCGGTGTAAACGATGTGTGGCGCTGCTTCGCCTGCGTGACGAATCCTGCTTTGGTATTGTCCTCGATAACCTGTTGTCCATGGAGATCGTGAAGGTAGCAGACGAGTGTCCCATCCGCTCTTCGTACGCAATTCTGGCCTGGGCGGTTATCCCACCACATCCCTCGTTGCCGTAGAAGGCGGTAGGAGACTAGATTCGTTGCGAATTCTTCGCAGTAAGCGACGTTGTATAAGCGGAGTCTTACCTTCTTCCCCCGCTCAGCGTCAGCCGTTATATCCACGTTTCCATACCCTAGGATTGGGACTTGTGAGGCTCCTGCCCATAGGTAATCCCCTGGTTCAGCTGCTCTGAAACCTGAGAATCGAGCCCGGTTGTTGAACACGTGTAGCGATGATCCTGAGTCGTATATCGCAGAGTTGTGTAAGGGGTACTCAGTCCGGATCATGAACGCAGAACGGTCACTCGTATACTGCTTCCTCCACGATGCGTTGGCTGACCCCATACACCGACCATACAGTCAGGTCTGCTTCGCTTCCTTCTCGCGTTGTTCACGGATCTTCTTCACGCGGTCCGCGAGGTCGTCATCGGCCTTGAGACGCTCGGTGACCTTCTTCATGATGTCGTTGCTGGGCCTCCATCCTTCATACGCTTCCTCTGGGAAGCAGTAGAAGCAGTTGGCAAGTAGGTGTCGTGGCAGATCACATCCGTGACACGTTGGCATCTCGTTTTGGGTCCGCGAATCGGCGGCCCTATGTCGCTTCTTAGTTGTACTCCGAGGCATGGTCTCCTTGGGTCCTTCTCTTGTTGTGGCAAAGGCACCTCTTGAGGCTCTTGGTCCTGTCGATAGGGTATCTGCGTGGATTCGTATATATCGTCGTACTTCCGCAGAGATCTCGCTGATCGAGGGGTTGTCCGACTCGTGGAACTTCGCCTCGAACGTGGCGTGGAACGCAGAAATAGCGGTCTTCGCAATGACCTTTAGGAAGTCCTCGCTCCACTCGCTGAAGTCCCTTGTCTAGGCAAGGTTGACCTCTTGTCCCTTCAACATTGCGGCCTCCCATTGCTCGAGCCAGTTCTCGATCTCGGCCTTCGTGGTTATCCGCTTTGTAGCCGCTTGCTTGACGGTCTTCTCGTACTCCTCACGCGCGGCGCTCTTTTGTTTATTGTTCGAGATCGAGGCCACGCCCTTCAGCTTGACCATCCAGGCTTGGAGGGTCTCCGTAGGTTTACAGCATGCATTGACGTACTTCTCGGCTGCTGTCGATAGGACCCAGTTGCGGAGCTCTCGTAGAGCAGCCGCTTCACGCTCGTAGATACGGATATCATGGTTATAGTCGCTCCGGAGCTGTACATACTCCTCACGGTCCTCCTTGACAAGGTCTTAGAGGCGTCTAGCCGTCTCGTTCGATCGAACTTCTTCGATATCTGGTGTCTGTAACACCTCGATGATTGATCCGCGGGTATGTCGCGGTATTCCTTTCTTCTTGTAGTCGGAGAAGGCCGGAGGCTCCGGCTTCGGCATCCGCTTCTCGGGGTTTTCGGCGCCGGGATCCACTTGCTCCCAGACGTCCAAGTCGGTGGCTTTACCCTGGAAAACCTTATACCAGGTTGGCCATTGACTGGGGTTGTTGAGGACAATGGATTCCATCTTTGCTTATGTCGTTATTGATTCGGGCTTATCGCGTGGGTTTTGAGGGACGTAAACGGGGTGTTCGTGTGTTTTGCAGTTGATCGGATCTTCGAATAGCTTCGTTTTGCCTGTAGGTAGGCCAATTGGTAGGTAATCAGACTGTTAATTGTTCGAATATTCGTAGGCGCACATTCAGGGGTCAATCGTGATGTGTATTGTGCTTCTTCTTTTCCTAAGACCTGTCCGTATCCCTTACGCGCCTTCTTCCGGCGTGTTCCCTGTGACTAAGCGCACCTAGCGCGGTCCTCGGCCAAACATTCCTCCTAGCGCCTTCCTGGCATCCTAGGCGCTCTGCGTGTGCATCGCTTCCAGCGCCCCTGGCCTACCACCCTTTTTGACAGTAGTATCTTGGTTTGATTACGAAGCAATACCGTCTAGCAAAGAAGGCTCTACTAATAGGTAGAAATCTATTTCTAACGCTTCTTAGAGACTATATAGAGGACTATACTATCTCTATAAAGTATAGTATCTTATACTACTATAAGATCTATTCTAAACTTATAGATAGGGTATAGTTTATAAAGGATAAGGTTTACCTACAATAGCGGCTGTAGGAGTCTTCTTCCTAGGATCTATATCGACAGATTCTTAATCCGAAGATTATAAGAAACCTCCGTAGCAGACCTAAGAACTCAATACAGCCAGTCTTATCATCCCTATCATTAAGGGATAGCACCTAATCAAGCAGCCAGCTAGCTAGACAATCATATAGCTAACTATAAAGTTAATAACCTAGCTAATTAGCAATAAGGCGTAAGCGTAGCAGACTACTAAGAAGCCGTAATAAGATTACCTTAGCAAGGCTTATATAAAAGACAGCTAGTAGCTAGGCGCTAACCTCTTCCTAGTAGCAAACACGAAGCTAAGTAACTATTCTTAGTACTAGCCGATCAACTAGCCTTCGTTCGAATAGAAGAAGATTATAGGCAAGCATCCGTAGGACGAGGAGTTAATAGGAACTACTTAGTAGTAGTAATAAGAGTCTTAAACGTTAAGGGTAAGGGGGGTATTCTTTATTATTATATAAGAGGAAATAGAAGTAGAAATCAATTAAGATTTATAAAAGCCGTTTTAGTTTAGTTTGATAAAACCTAATTCCTCCTTAGAAGGGAAGAAAAAGACCTACTATTTAAGATTTGCAAAAGCAGTCGTTTAGATGGTTTTGCAAATCTTAAATAGGAGGAATAGCTAAGAAACGTAGGCTAGTAGGGTAGGCTAGCTTTATGTCTATTATAGTAAAGCAAAGTGCTAAACGTAGGCATATATTTAAAGTAGTAGATCAAGTAGCTTGTCTTCTCCTAACTATACTATAGAACGATATCATACCTAAATATGTTTTATAAGCGAAGCGGAATAAAGATATTCCGGTTATTCTATTTCGGGATTATCCCTATAGGCGATATATAGGTTACGTGATAGTAAGGCTACGTACTTCGCCTCGAAGGCATTACGACATTTATAAAACGGAGGCAAGCCTCTTATAGCTGTGAAAAGGTAGGGCGTTAGCAACGCTAGCCTTACCGCCTTCGCCGACTTATACCTGTAGGTCACTAAAATTTCTAGCTAATTACAACCTTAGAATGTGATGCGTCCCTAAGGATGATGCGTCCCTATCAATTTGTAATGCGTCCCTATTAATTCCCTATTAATATAAAGACTTTAAATAAGGAAGATATTAAATCGCTTTAAAAAATAGTAAATAAACTATTTTTAAATCGATCCGGGATCGATCCTAAACTATTTTAAAATTAATTATATTATAAATTTAGTATAACTATACTTAGTAATTCCTATTAAAATAAACGACTTTAGTATTCTTTTAAAATATTATTTATTTATATTTAACTTATACTTATATAAGTAGAAAGGTATGTTTTTATTTTAATTAAAATCTTTTATATTAAAAGTATTAGAAAGTTATTTTAAAAATCTTATAAAATATTAAAGTATTACGAATAAAGGTATTATAATATAAATATTACGGGGTTTTAGCTAGGAATAGTTATAATAGTAATAAATATCGTATTTTTCTAAAGCTAATTCTTAATCCTCTAGATCAAGAGTCTAGAGCTAGAACCTGTCTTTTATCTAGGTATTATGCCCTGCTAGGTAAAACATATATATTAACCTTCTTAGTACAGCGCCCTATAGCGCTTCTAGTAGTATAGCGCCTTATAGCTCTTTGCCTTGTTACAACTGCCCCCCTATTATGGTTGCTATCCCTAGCAACTTGCGTATAGAAAATAAAGGTCCTCCTTTTTTTTTTTTTTTTTTAAGCAAGGCGTAGGGCTCTAGGTCAGGCTTAGTCAGGCTTTCGCTTAGAGTTCGGTGTAGCTTAGTCAGGCTAGCCTTTCTCTAAAAAAAAAAACTTTTCTTAGCGCTTTTATTTCCTCGTCGCCTACTTTGTTTATTTACTTTTCTTTTCTATTAATATCCTTACTATAGCGTTTGCTTCTTCTATCGATTACGACTTACGCATTATTCGCTAGCTTTTCTCTTTATCTTTAGCAGAATCGCTTTATTTTTCTCTTTCTCGAGATTGTCTTTATTTATTCTCTAGACGTTTGGTCGCGATTAGATAGTATAACGCCTTAGAAACCCTAGACCTAGACGCCTTATAAGAAAGGCAAAGTTCGTAGTAATAGGATTAATAAGACCCCTACTCTTAGTAGTAAAAAAAGCAATTAGCATAATTAGGTATAGCGACTTTATACCTTAAAGGTAGCGAAAACCTATCGTTATAATACTATTCTTCGGGAGAAGCGTTAGCCTTCCCTAAGTAAAGATTAAGACTATATTTTCGCTAATTTAACTACGACCGAAAAGTCCGAATTAAACAAGTCTAGTAAGGAAGGCGATAGTAATAAGTCTAACGCTAGCAACTTAACCCCTAGTCCCCTGCTTACTGCTAGCCTTACTTAACGCTCCCCTACCCCTTCGTCTATAGTAAAGTCTAGCTTTAATAATGCCTTCCCTTCGCCCTTTCTTAGTAAGCAACTTCCTAACCCTTAGCTAGAAGGTAATAATACTACTTTTTAGCCTTGTCTTTATTATATTCGTACTATAGTAGAAGCATATAAACACGGTTATAAAAGAGACGGAATAGTTTTCGATCCCGAGTAAGTCGCTATCCCTAAGTATTCTTTTACTTTGAAGGGATCTTCGCGTTATACGTAGTATAACTATCGCGGAGATATATATACTATAGTAAGTAAAGCGTTTTCCTTCCTTATCCTTAGCGATTAGCTAATATTTATCCTTATAAACGCTATCTTTTATATTTAGTAACTACTAAGACTATCTCCTTTTATAAAGAGTTATTTAACGCTTAATATACTATGTTTAAGACGAGGATAATAAAGATATTTGCTAGTAAATCTCCCTTATTACGCGCGACTTATGTTGGAACGGTAGGTAGGAATCTCGTAGGTAGTACGATATCCTTATAACAGGGTATTAGAGTAAGGGAACTTGTACTTATGAAGTAGGGCTTTAATAGTAAAGAATGTATAGGCTTATATTGAAGCTGAGTTGGTTGAGGAACTAATAGCTAGCTAAGGGAGAGAATTAGGCTAGTTATATAGTAGTATAACGTCGCCTATAATAGCTAATATAGGAAGCTATAAGCTAGGTTTAGTATACGTAAGTATATACGTCAACTAGCTTATAAAGCAGCTTATAAATCAGACTAGAATCTTCTTTAACTAAATAGACTTTTAGATAAGGTTAAAGAGAGTATTCCATAGGGATCTGAATATCATATGTTTAAACTAGCAAGCAGCCATTCTTAGCTAGTTACTTTTGTAAGTCCTACTAAGTCTTAGATAAGACTAAATAGGATAAATAAGTAAAATAGAAGTATAATATACTTATACTTCTAACACTTACTATTATTATAAATATTGATAGTAATATTATAGATATAGTTATAGAATTTTATTTATAATTAGTTTAAAACTAGTTTAAAATCGGTATAGAATTAGTTTAGAATTACTTACTAGCTATATTATTATTCTTTTCGACGGAGTTTATACTAGACTTATAGCTTTTAACCTTAGCTAAGACTTTATTAAGCTTATACTTCTTAATATAGTTCTTAAGGTTTGACTTACTTAAAAACTATTTTATTTAATCGATTCGAAATTAATTCTAAACTAATTTAAAACTAATTCTAAATTACCTTAGTATATATAATACTACTAGATCTATTACCTTAATAATAGTAAAGTTTACTAAAAGTAAGCTTAACTTTGCTAGCTTAAATCGATTTAGAATTATTTCTAAATCGTTATAAAATTGCTTCTAAATTACTTACCTTATTAAACTTAAAGGGAGGAAGATCTTTTATACGATAGTTCTTACTACCTTAGAAAAGACTTTCTTTATAAGTTTTATAATCGTCTTAATTCTAAATTAGTTCTAAATCGATTTTAAACCGATTTTTATTATACTTATAGAATCCTTATATAAAGGCATAATGTCGGATTTCTAAACTAATTCGGAAGTAATTAGGAATCGGTACGCTAGGGGGGGGGGGGCGTATACGATTTAAAAAGGTTATAAAGGGAAAAGGAAGAGAATCAGAATAGAATAAGGATTTAAATATTAATATAGGGTATATACCCTAATTAGTAGTAGGACGTAATTAATAACTAGTCTATATACCTAACCGATTAAAAATTCCATAGTCAGGTAGACCTACTTTACCTTAATATAGCTAATCATAAAATTAGTCAGATAGACCCATAATTCATTTAAATAAGTAGGTAATTAGTCAGGTTATCCCCCCCCCCCCCCAATGGTCGCCTTGACCACACCCTCGATAAATGCTCTTCCGACAGGGCTAGGCATGTGTTGCCGAAATACCGGGTCCCCAACTCTAATGCTTGGTTGATGTGTTTATTGGCTGTATTTCACGTAGGTATAAGTTCACTCCGATTGCTGGTGAGTGCATGAATTGTAAAACGTCAGTTTCTTCGCTTGCCTAGCCTAACATTGAGAACAACGGGGCGTCGCTGGATGCGAAAAGGATGTCAAAACAAGTAACGATGTCTTCATGTCATAAATGGCGGTTGTGCCTCTATTTTCAGTCGCAAGAAAAGACTTTTTGAGCATCCCGCACCCGTCAGGAGATAATCCTCGAGCAGCATCCTATGTACTCCAACGCAAGCAAGCCCATCCCTCGGAATCTTCATCATCGCTGGTCCTAGCCAGCCTCAAGTGTGGTATGTGGTCGTGCCCACCAATCTGCCGCCGCCAAACCTCTTTTCTGCCCCCTACATTAAGGCCCTTCTGGGGCATCCACAAGCTCAGAAACGCAAATCGAGTCCAACAGGGCCCACAACGCCTATCCCTCTCTAGCTGCCCGAACCTTCGTAGCCCTTCGCCCCGTAGGGCTTAGAACGTAACATAGACGTTATCGATGCCTCTGGGAGAAAGCGTTAAAAAAAAAGAGAGAAAAGAAAACACGCAGCATTATAGGTATAAGCGTGGTGAAGTCTGTAAAGCCGGCCCAGTCCTTCGTATTTTTTGGTGGGAGAGTTTGTGTGATATGCGTGAACGCTCAGTCCAAATAAAAATGAAAACGGAAATAAAAAACGCGGATGGTGATACATTGGCCCCCCCTGCCCATTGAGGCATGGTTTTGTTGTTGAAGACCTTGTCTTTGGTGCTCTCCTGGCCCTCGAACGAGTTGGCGGTTAGCGGAAGGAGGCCGCTTATGGGACGTGAGAGTTATGACACCCAGATCGAAAGTGCTAGTTCGTCGTCTCCGTTATGCATCGATACTACCCTGGTCAAGTTGTGGTGGACTGAGGAGTCGAGACTTCGGAATCGCCGACCATATCAGAGACGCGAAGCTTTTTGGCAGCGCGACCCGAGTCTGAAGAGTCCAGAGCTTCCTTGGCGTCCTTGAGCTCAAGCTCTAGCTCGTCAAGGCGCCTTTTAAGGTTGTTCTCCCTGCGGTGGCTCTCCTCCAGCTGCTTCTTGCTAGTATCCAGCTGGGAACGCAACTGGGCCTCAGCTTTGCCGCTGATTTCCTGGCCTCTTCTTGCGCTCGCCTCGTCTTGCTCCATCTGACTAAGCCTCCCGCGGAAAAGCTCGTTAATCAACTCGAGTTCGCTGACGCGAGTCTTGAGGGCTGAGTTGGCTGCGATGAGCTGTTCGTGGGTTTGAGGGACGTCGAGATGGCGGTCGCCGTTCAGAGGAGATCCGGAACGGTTGTCGGATGCGCCGCCAACATTAAAAGCTGAAAGCTGGGGATCATCCATGCCCTGGAACACGGGAAGGCCGGGATTGTATAAGGACGGTGTTGCGGTCCGAGATACAGGAGAGTCAGATCCATCAACGTTGCCGTTCGCTGACTTGGACGCTCTGCGCTGGGCAGAACCAGGAGTTGGTTGCCCATGAAGGTCAAGGCCGTTCGGATCGTTTGCGCCGGGAAAATTGGCGGCCTGCTGTTGCTGCTGTTGCTGTTGCTCAGGTTGCGGTTAGCTGACCGAGGCGTTGCATTCGGGAGATGAGAATGCGACAAACCTTTTTCTTAGAAGCAAGATCAGGACGCATCGTCTTCACACGATTCCGACTCTTGATGACATCTGTCTTCAACGAGATAGGGCGAGGACGGCCGTGTAGCTTGAGGAACAATCCGCAGGCATTGCACAAAACAGATCCATACTCATCGCGGCGCCACAAGGGTGTGGTCGAGGTCTGACAGTTTTGGCATGTTGGCTGCGTAGATTCGCGATCGTGGTTAGCTGCTGTGGCCATCATCTTGAATACTCCGTTGCAGTCTTCGCGCTTTGATTCATAACAAAAACACTCTCTGTTTCCAGGTTCAAGTGACTGCGATAACGCGCAAATGTCGGTAGTTCGCGATGATGCGGTATATGGGCTCGTGAAGGGGGGGGAGGGTTGACAAGAAACCAAAATTTAATCCTATCTTATCTCTGAAAGGTGCTGCTCCACTCTGTGTGGCCCCACCTTCCGGCAACTGCAAGGTTCCAGAGATAAGAAAGCCAGCCAACCACCGCAGCATTTGCGACAACGCTTAGAGGCGGAATTATGTTCAAACTGTACAACGGACGATAGGAAATTTACTGTGGAAATGTAGCACTTACAGTGGTAGTGGATCCGCCACCAGAAGCGTAAGTCGGCGTCGGTGCCGGTGCTGGAGCTGGAGCTGGCGCGGGTGCTGGAGTCGGTGTGGATGCGGGAGCGGGAGCAGCAGCAGGAATGGTCGCGGTTCTGTGGATCAACAATATAGTCAGTTCTTGTTCCTCCATGAGCTGCTGTTTACAACTGCGAGACGCGCCAGCATATCAAGTTCTGCCGCTTTCCGTATGTCCCCTTCCTCACAACTCTTCTGTGCTCCCTTCAAGATATTTCACGTACCGCAGCTGTGGCGAGTTCGTCGCAGAATTGGCTTGAGCGAGGGCTGAGATGCCTGGCAACTGATGAAGCGATGCTGATGCCGATGTCGATGTCGAGCTCGGTCGAGAGATGGGCTCAAGGTTCGTCGGCGGCAGCGCGAGGCCGGAAAGCGCTGTACCCTCTTCCATGGCCGGTCGCAAATAGTGTGGCTCAACCTCTGGTAGCGTGAGATGAGTCGACGTGGAGCAACGTTAAAGGCGTCGACAGAGATGTCGGTATCGCGCAAGCAGGATAATGTAAAGGTAACAAAGACAAGAGATGGTTTGAAGTTTTTAGAATTGCTGGCTTCCACGAAAGAGCACAGCTCGGTTGCGATAATTCGAGATGGTAATCGCTGCCGCGCAAGCAGGGAGGCAGGAGTTCGAGTCCGCTGCGCGATGTCGAGATCGTTAGACGCGTGAGTATCGAAATACCACAACCGTATAAACCTTGCTGCCTTGGGGTAGGCTCGTCTGTTGTGTCAAAACTCGATGTTGCAGGATAGCTACGCGGTCGGCAAGATTGTGGTACGTGAATCGAAAAGGGAAAAAAAAAATTAGTGCTGCGGGTGAGCACGGCCGAACAGCGACTCGGAAATCAAGAACGTAGATCACAGAGTGGGTAGTACCTGCGAAACTGGCCCAATCTGGCGGGGAAACAAATACAATGAAAGTTAAGCACTCCAATAAGGTCTTAGATATTTGGACAAGTATGATAAAAGTTTTGTTGTTTGACTGCACAAAAAAAAGGAATAAACAACCATAGCAGATTCCCGTTTCGTCTCCTTAACGAACCAAAGGCAAATTGCTCCTACGCGACATTTGCGAGGCACCGCGGCCTATCATATCTTTCCATTTGGTCGCTAGCTGGAGGCTCACACTGTCTACGTGGTGATTGGCCCGAAGACACTGAGAAAGTGGAGTGCCCCTCAGCCTTATGTAGCACCAACTGCGCAGATTGAGATGGGTCAACTGAGATTTTGCAACGTAATATATAGGGGCAGATTATCAACGCCCTTGTCAACTGCTGAAGGGGCAATGTTCGCCGTTATCTGATCCGCCGTCTGAGAGAATGAGAATGCACGGCACAAGACCAGCGGCGAATTCATTATCTTGATGCTGCATCAAAAGACAAAGAAAATGATTGCTGATCATTCCCCTTGCCGGCAGTGCTACTGTCTGCTTCCAATTGGTCGTCCCAGGCAGATATTTATGTCATAAATGCATGCATTGCCTTTTCTTCCACGTTTCGGCAGATGATAAGCAGCTGCCAGATAGCAGATATCGGAACAGGCCTTGCTAAATCACTAGATGCGTAGCTGAGGCTGCGCGCCTAGCCCCAACATAGCACGTATTCACTTGTGGCTGAACATCACGAGGCGTCAACCAATCGAGGAAGTACAGGAAGTCATTCAGAGACATAAATATTCTAATCAAGATAAATTGCTGTTCCTGTTGCCGGAACAAAAAGTACAGCAAATGGACAAGATAGAACAGCTACATACTTTGACAACGGCGATGAGAAACAAGGAGCATACGGTTGGGGCGAGGAAGTGGTGAGACGGGCGTTACAGAATCGTCATGATTGGAGAGGGAAGGCTAGAGATTTTGTTCTCAGGATTGCTCTAAGCCGGGGCCATGTAAAACTTCAAGAATGGCCTTGAACGGTAACCAAAGCCAAGTCTCGCACAGGATGTAACCGATCAGTCACTTTACAGACGAGACGGATAACAAGAAAACACTATGAAGCTTTTACCACCAGATGATTATTAGTTACCTCAAACTCAAGCGCTCTGGTGGACTGTCGTGTTGGAGTTCTAAGAAAGGTATGGTGTAGAGACCGAACTAGACCCGCCCGCTGGCTCGCAACGCCCCACACCCAGAGTGTTATCGATAAGAATTTTTGAATTCCCTGCCGCCGCCGCCTTCTTGTCTGAACTTTTTCTCTGGAACAGACGACATCAAACCTGCACTGTCAATTACGCACAACACCTGCCCAAGATGCCCTCTACGTACAAAAAGGATAAGCCGTGGGACACAGACGACATCGACAAGTGGAAGGTCGACCCTTTCACTCCCGCCGACAATGCGGGTGGCACCTTTGCCGAGGAATCATCCTTTGCCATCGTCTTCCCTAAGTACCGCGAAGTATACCTGAAGGAAGCATGGCCTCTGGTCACTAAGGCTCTCGAGAAGACTGGCATTGCCTGCTCTCTGGACTTGATTGAAGGTTCCATGACCGTCAAGACGACAAGGTTAGCCTCCTGCAAATACTCACCGTTCCTTATCCCCTCCTCGGAGACACTAACACGAGACACTAGAAAAACATTCGATCCCGCTGCCATCCTCAATGCACGCGACCTCATCAAACTCCTCGCCCGAAGCGTCCCCGCGCCGCAGGCTATCAAGATTCTCGACGATGGCGTCGCCTGCGACGTCATCAAGATCCGCAGCCTGGTGCGCAACAAGGAACGCTATGTCAAACGTCGCCAGCGCATTCTCGGCCCCAACGGCTCGACCCTCAAGGCTCTCGAACTTCTCACTCAGACCTACATCCTCGTACAGGGTAGCACAGTCTCCGTCATGGGACCCTTCAAAGGACTCAAGGAGGTCCGTCGCGTCGTAGAAGATTGCATGGCCAACATTCATCCCATCTACCACATTAAGGAGCTCATGATCAAGCGCGAGCTCGCAAAGGACCCGGAACTCGCGAACGAGAGCTGGGATCGTTTCCTGCCCAACTTCAAGAGAAAGACGCTCAGCAGAAGACACATGCCTCACAAGGTCACAGACAAGAGCAAGAAGACTTATACGCCATTCCCGCCGGCGCCCGAAAAGAGCAAGGTCGACAAGCAGATCGAGACAGGAGAGTACTTCCTCGGAAAGGAGGCCAAGGCCAAGGCTGCCCAGGCCGAGCGGATGGAGCAGCAGAAGCAGAAGAAGGAGGAGAAGCTGCGCGAGAGGGAAAAGGACTTTGTGCCGCCCGAGGAGTTGGGCCACAAGAAGAAGAAGAGAAAGAAGAGCGAGGACGACGAGTAAGGAGTGGTAATGTACGGTATAGCGCAGAAAAGTTCGTAGATCGGAGTGGCGGATGTCTTTTGGTTCTCCGCAGAAAGGGGGTTGTCACGTCCATAGGTGAGATGATAGCTCATCCAAGATACCCTTCCATTCAAGTGTTCAAGAGTCTTCTCGCATGGACACTGGCGAACTGCCACAGATCCAACGGGTCAATATTCGCACACCACAACGCACAATGTCACAATGAGGAAACCAGCGGTTTAATGGAATGACTTATAACTAGTGTTGACCAAGCTACCCTTAGAAAAACAAAGCGATTTCTGTCATCAACGACATTGTCTTTCTGTGAAAAGAATCTTCGTCGTGCATTCCCGGCCAATATGATATCTGCTTCAAAGCATTCAGAGAGTCCAGTGAACTTTCTCGACCCTGTAGAGCAAAAGCTTTCTCTCCTGTTCTTGTCCTGTCCGGATGCGATGCCCAATAGTGACGCTTAGGAGCAGTCAAAGTAGCGGCGGTAGTAATAGATGCCATTCGTGCGGTAAGGATAGTAAATCTCCCAACCTTTAGACCAGCCATCCCACTTGCGGCCAGCATATTTAAGAATAGGCCAGCGCGTAGGGTTTATGTAGAAAATGGTGACCCAGGGAAGGCCTGAGTATATGTCCATCCACGCGCTCCACTGCCAGGGATGCAAGTCCCCGGTAAGCTCGCAGTCGTTGTAGAAGACCCAAGCACGGTTGGGAACGTTTATGTTGCTCTGTGAATGGCACCAGGCGCCGAACATACACTGGCTAGTGTTCTTATTGGGAGTGCACCAATCGGTGGGATCAGGTGGGTTGAACTCTCGCTGATGAGCTTGCTTAAGTCTGTTGCCGTTCTTGCCGGTAGTACTTTCATCGAGCCCGGTGCTTCTGACAAGAGCATCCCAGTGATCGTTGTCGACGGGGATTATCTTGATGTCAAGGTTGAGGGCATCTTGCTCGGTGAGGTTGAAGGGGTTGTCATGGGGGAATGTGGCCGGGGCGAGATGAGGGCCAAGAGAGATCTTTGGGTTCTTCACTTTGAAGGTCGGAGCTTGGTCTGGTTCATTGCCGCGTTTGTTTTGTAGTTTAGTCGCGATGCCGCTTGCGCCGTCAACAAAGCTCACACTCGCGAGAAGGAGGAGGGTCAAAGAGAGAAGGAGAGTGAGTTTTTGCCACATTGTAACGGCTGAGAACAGATAGAAGAGGTTTAAGTCGTGATTTTCTTGGAGAGTATCTTAACAATTTTTGGGGCTCATAGAGTTGTGACTTAATGAGAAGTGGTGTGGGAGAAAGGATGGACCAGACGCGCAAGACGTGTGATAACAAGAAAAATAAGAACCAGTTGGATGCCCTCTTTTTAGACGAAGGATAAGAACCACTTTAATGAATGACACTTCCTCAGAGGCGAGATAACCGGTTCACCTGACCATCCGCTTCGCTGCCTTTTTCTTGACCTGGGCAGCCTTCATCTGAAATTATGTAGGCTACCATCCTTGTGCTTTTATTACTCCTAAGCAAACAGCTTATTTCTTTGTCTACGTGGCGTCAAGTTCAAAGTTTGCAGATGAGCTACAGGGACAAACCGCGCTGCTGCTCGGATACTTCTGGCCTCTGCTATGTAGGATGATAAGTTTGGGAGTTTGTTATTTTAGAGCTCTGTCTTGTTACGCTGGCGGTGGGGGTTAGGACGTAAAGGATCCTTGTATTGACTATTGCTCCTTCCATATCCTCGCGGGTTGGCTCTAGCGTGAAATAAACAGGCAGGTGGGCATATAAGACTCGCAGACGGCAAGAAAAGGGGAGTGGTTCAAGTCACACTGGATGCTCCGCATAACAATTGCACTGATAGGAAACCAAGTTATAATCCGCCATTGCCATCAACATAGACGGATTCTTCTGCCGCCAGGGCCGACCTTGTTTCCGTAATCTACAACTTCGGTGGTGATGCCGCAGACGACTCTTCAAACTCAATGACCAGCTTGCCAAACTGTTTACCAGCCTCCATATCCTTGAACAATTCATTAATGCCCTCGAGGTTCGTCAGCCCCTTGACCGTCCGGCTGACAATCGGCTTGATTTTCTTTTCCCTAACGAACGCAACCATATCTCTGAACTCCTCTCGCGAACCCATAGTCGTGCCCTTGAGTTCAACGTTCTTCAGAACTGCCTGCATTAACCAGTCCATCTGCGGCGAAACCGTCATGCCATACTGGCTGATGACACCTCCAGGCTTGAGAAGTCTAACAGCTTTTCCAACAATATCTCCACCAGCACCGTCAACCACGGCATCAAGGTATGGTCGTCCCTTAGGCAGCTGACTCTGCAGCTCTTTCTCCCATCCCTCCTTTTTGTAGTTGACCCCGCCCGCAGCACCCATCTTTTTGGCCTTCTCGAGCTTGGCTTCATCGCCTGAAGTGACGTAAATGTTGCAGCCAAAGGCGACACCAAATTGCAACACCTGGAGGGCCACACCGCCGCCAATGCCCGTGACTAGGATATTTCTCCCTTCCTGGGCATTGCCGCTCTTTGTCACCAGCGCACGCCAGCCTGTAAGTCCCACAAGGGGCAAGGCAGCGCCTTCAGCTGGGGTGAGGTGTTCCGGGGCCAACTCGACTTCATCTTCAGGAAGAGCGAGGTAGTCTTGTGCGGTGCCATCTGGGTAGGACTTGGTAGCACCAATGACGCTGAACTTGCGAATGTCTTCGGGGCCGTCAGGGCTGGACGCCCATCCGCGACTAGGGGTGATAAGCACGGGCTTGTTCAAAAGCGCCTTGTTAGCGCCTTCCCCGACATCGACTACCATGCCATAGCCGTCTGCAAGTAGCGGATGGTCAAACGAAATTCCAGGGTAGAGATGGCGCCGGATGAAGAGGTCCCGATGATTAAGGGCTGCTGCCCTCAGCTGAACCAGAACCTGCTTGGGGCCTGGAGAAGGCTTGGGAATGTCATTGAGCTGGAGTCTAAATTCTTGTAAGCTGTGGTGAACTATATCAGATAAGATGGATGCTTTTTCTCACGGATAGTAGACCTTTCCGGGCTTTCCTTCGATTTGCTTGACGGTAATAGAATGAGGCATTGTGACTGCTGGATCGTAGTGCAAGCGTGTCTTGATCGTGCGAAGGAGAGGGTCAGCTTAAAGCTCTTTGCAAATTATGATTGAGGACGTTACATACTTAACGGCTCGAAGAAGAACTTCCCTGTGATGATTATTAATGCTGTATCCTGACCCCGTCACAAACGGTCACTGCGCGGGGGAGGGGACGTTCCCCGGCTTAGCCTCCACACAACCGGGGGTCGGTCGGGCCCCGCATTCAGTGACGCTGGCGGCCGTAAGGAACCTCGGCTTGTTCTGCAGGGAACTCCAGCGTCCCCACTCTGCCATTGAGTGGCCATCATGGATTTACATGTATAGGGTTTTCTTTATTTCTTCACTCTAACGAAGCTTAAGTGTCGGACGTTACAACTCAAAAGACGCTGCCCAGCATACGGGTCATATGCCGATATACACTCCAAACAAACCAGCCATGCAAGACACATTGCTCCCTTCAACTACTTGAATATCTGGATCGTCGGTGGACGCCTCATAACATCAAACCACAACACTGCTTCTCTTGATACTACCAAATTACGCCAGGCATTTTGACAGGCACACGCAGCAGCCGATCTCCGTTCTTAGTCGGATTGGGGATGTTTCCTCCTCTTACGTTCACCTGCAGTGCCCAGTGCATCAGTCTGGGCTCACCAAGCCCTGAATCTCTCTCCTTGCGCCACTTGACGAACTCTTCTTCCTTGACACCCTGCCCGAGATGTTTGTTATCGGCCCTCTGCTTGCTGATCGCCGTTGCTGCCACAGGGTCTCTACCGGCCGGCGGGTAATCATGTCCCGTCCAAATCTGGGTGCTGTCAGGCAGGCCCATTAGAGTCTGCACTGAAGCGAACAGATCCCTAGCATCACCGCCAGGAAAATCACATCGCGCCGACCCGACGTCGTGATTGAATAGGGAATCACCTGCAAAGACGTTCGCTAAGGTAAGGTTTAGCTCCCAGTTTTCAATGAGAGTACAAGTCATCGTGTGCCTTACCTCCCATCATGTAGCCCATGTGATCCGGAGTATGGCCCGGTAGGTGGATCGCTTTAGCCTCAAGGTCGCCGATCATAAATACTTCGTCATGATCAAGCAGTCGGTCAAAGGCGTGGGCATACTCCTCCTCGGGAATGCTGTACTTTCGAGCGAACCTGTCCTGCACCATTCCGATGCGCCAGCCGATGCAAATCTCAGGTGCCGCGCCGTTCTGTGTCTCCCGCAGGCGGGCCTGCAGGTACTTGGCTGCCGTCAGGTGGTCAGCATGAATATGCGTCTCTAAGATCTTGACGACATTGTATCCCTTCTGCTGAACGATCCTCAGTAGGCCGTCGGCTGTTGCTGTTGAAATTGTAACTTTGGCCGGGTCGAAGTCGAGGACCGAGTCAATGATGACGGCTGCTTTTGTGGAGGAATCAGCAACTATATACTGCCATGTACCCGTCACGGGCTCAAAGATTTCATGAATAAGGGGTTCTTGGGCCATGTTCACATCGATATGTGGATATGCTTGGGGACACTTCTTTCAGTGTATCAGAACGGTTCAATCAACGTGCATTTCCTGAAGCAGCAGATTTTGAAGACGCTAGCTTGCTGTCTTATATTTACATCTCATGTATGACATACAGGTGTCGCCGTCCAAGATATTAAGATTCATTTTGACTTTTGATACCGTCGTTCGGTCACTGTGGTCACCGACAGTTGCATCCTCTGGAGGAAGCACCACCCCGGTGAGAGGCCCGCTCCCGGTAAACGCCCGTGCACCCCCGGCTGGTCACCGATGTCACCGACGTCGGCGACCGTCCATCCGTGAGGTCGCCGGAGCAGGGACAGCCGCGCTGACTTTCGGTGACCTGCATACCGGGAAGACCATGTCTCTCCAGGTTCATCCCCGCACGGGACCAGTGCTGGTTCATGCAACCTTAATGCTCCTCATGACATGTTGGTTTACCGACTGTGTAGTTGTCGCTTATCTGAGTCTCTATGGTTACACTGACTTCTCATGTCTCTCTCTTCTCATACTGTGCACATCATGATTAGGCCTCTATCCTGGAGTCGTCCTGTCTGTAGGTTCCCCAAGAAATCTAGAAATTATGCAACATTCTACCACGGTATGCGATCCTTCACTGACTTAAGTGACTAGCGCCATGTCGTTAGCGGACAAAACAAAGGCGTCATCCATGCCAAGATGGAATTAAGCCAACGCCACCCGTCACTGAATTTCCTAGCTACAGCCATGCTGAGTGAAATAACGACGCCAGGATAAGAGCCCGAACCGGCGACAAGACGACTACAGAAAATAACCCCCCCTCTGGGTGCGCCATTGGCAGGGGACCTCCCGTCTGGGGACGCAGGAGTGCGGCTTTTGAACAACGGGGATTAATAACTGGAGCCCCGCCACTGGGACTACCGTAATTTTTGTGCTCTTCATCGAGTCCCCGACACTCATGTACACCAGAACATGCTTCGTCAAACCAACAGAGACTTCCCCTGATCGGCGGCCTTCCTCCCCGACACTGCCCGCCTTCTGGCTTTTGACAGAGATTTGTATAAGTTCATCCGACTCGCCGAAGAAATTTGACGAATCGGTCTAAACGCGCCACCCACCATCCGCCATTGTCCACTCACGGAAGCCTCTGTTATCAAGTCACCCAATCCTTGAGGGTAATTTGCCTTCAACCTCCGTAATAACATACGCAGATACGACAACTGGAACCATGACAACCGTTCTTTCCGGCGCCGCGTTTGGTGCCGCGTTGGTGGGTGCGGGCGTCTACCAACCCTCGGTCATTATCGCTCAGCTCAAGCTTGAGAACTGGCACATGATCCAGGCTTTCCTCGCTGCCGCCGCCAGTAGCACGTACGCCACTCAGGTCGCTTTGTCATTTTATAGACACGCAACACCATCGCTGATAGCTTTATAGATTCGTCGTTTTCACCCTCGACAAGCTTGGCTATGTCCACCCTAAACCCCGCAGCCCCTCCCGGCTGGGCCTTTTCTCCGAGTATGACGGCAACATCCTCGGCGGCTCCCTTCTCGGGGCCGGAATGGCACTCTCCGGCTCCTGCCCGGGCACTGTCCTCGCACAGATCGCTACGGGCTCACCATCGGGCGTCTACGTGTTGGGCGGCGCTGCCCTGGCCGGCATCGCCTGGACGGGCTTCCTCCAGAAGGTCATTACGTCAAACGCCGCCAACGCCGCGCCAGAGAACCCAAAGCTTACCGTCCACGAGCGCCTCGGTCTTAGCAAGGTGCTGAGTTTGGTGGGATTCGAGGCCATCTATGCCGGCGTCGTCTACGCTACGCTGAAGTACACACCGGCCAGCCCATATGCCGTCGTTGCACCCACCATTGGCGGCCTTTACATCGGCCTGGCCCAGCTCTTCTCCCTGCTTACGCGCAAGGCGATGCTGGGGGTATCCACGTCGTATGACGAGATTGGGCGTTACTTTTGGTGGGCGGTCAAAGGTGGTGGCGAGAAGGGGAAGCCGGCTTCGTACAACAACATCCTGTTCTCCGCTAGCCTGGCCGCGGGTGCGTGGGCGCTCGCAACGGCGTACCCTGCCCTTGCAATCGGTTCTGCGGATGCTGCTGTTACCCCGGTCCTGGCCGCAACGGGCGGCTTCCTCATCGGCCTGGGATCTAGAATTGCCGGAGGTTGCACTTCTGGGCACGGCCTCAGTGGCGTATCCGTCTTCTCGACGGCTAGCTTTGTGACAATCCTCTCAATGTTTGGCGCGGGGGCTCTTGTTGCTCCATACTTTTACTAGCGGGGGGCGTGTATCGTAACACTCCCTCCCCCCCCCCCCCCCCCCCCTTCTTTCTCATAACAGCGAGTTTACCCATTGAGAATCGAAGCTTTTGATCTATATAATACACTAGTGCTCTGCTTGCGGTTTTTGAGTGATGGCCGTATGCCGCATGATCATTCGTAGTATGTAAGCCAGAGTCCCGACTCACACAGCAAAGGATGGTCGACGACGCTGCCCACCAGTCATGACCACTGATCACCGCGGTATGTGTACTGATTGCGTTGGACTATAAAATGAACCAAGTCTCTGCATTAATTTGAAACTCACCAGGAATACGAACACGTGCGACATGCTCGAAGCTTTACTAGCCTGGCCGGCCGGCCGAATATTGCTTACTACACCCGTACTTTCCAGCCCCGTTCAACTCCAGGCAGCATGGCTAGTACAAGTCTTTCTCTCTCTCTCTCATCAAGCTGTGATCTCCTTCTTAGCCGTGACCTCAATCTCAATTTTCATCGCGTCCTCCATCAACGCGGCCTGGATCATGGTAGCCGCGGGCCTCACATCGCCGAACCACTTCTGGAGCACGGGCCACGTCTTTTGGAAGTCGTTGCGGTCAGGGAGGATATAGCGCACGCGGACGACGTCCTTGACCTGTGCCCCGGCGTCGGCGAGAGCGGCGGCGATGTTCTCCATCGTCTGCTCCGTCTGCTCGACGATGTTGGGGGATATGACGCCCGTCTTGTAGTTGTAACTTTGCATCTCGTCAGTTCCTCTGCGAAGTCATCCTCCACGGAACCAAGAGAAAAAGAAGAAGAAGCGTGAGGAAAGAAGGAGAAAAAAGGGGGAAAAAAAAGGAGCGACAGACCCAGTTGTTCCGGATACAAAGATGAAATCGCCCGAGACCACGGCGCGGGAGTAGCCGATTTGTGCCTCAAAAGCTGAGCCCGAGCTGATGTTCCGTCTGGACATGGTGGATGATGAAAAGAGGAGGGTACGAGTGAACGATGGTGGGATGATGAATCTCTCGAAATGCGTAGATTCTAAAGTTGGCTTGGTGAAATAGGAAAACAGAAGAAAAGGAGGAGAAGGAGGAGGTCAGGCACGAAGTGAAGCTCTTGTTGAGTCATATGAACATTCACGCAGGCGGGGGAGCTGGAAATCATACAGGGTTTGTTAGTGAGACCAATCAGGGCGCTTCGCCTTGAGCTTGACATGCCGAATCGGGACATCCGGCTGAGGTGTATAGAACACAGGACAGGAGCTGTGTGTGCGAGCCGCATTCTAACATACTCGAAGTCTAGAACAATTTACATGATCCAAGAGAGGGCAAATGCGCTGAACGTAAGACTTGGTGAGGCCTGCGTGAAAATCACAGCTGGAGTTCAAAACCAGAGGTTATTCCCGCTTGACCGTACCGAGGTCCCTAACTAGTGCCGCGAGGGACCCTACGTCAGAGAAACCTGCCCCGATAGCTTACTGGGGGGGCTCTGCATCTCATAGTGTCACAACATGCCCAAGTAAAGATGTGTAGTAGCCCCATATCTCACACGAACTTGGAGATTATGCTAGGTTCTGTGTGTGAGAGCAGGGAGCGTTCGCCAAGGAGAAAGTTGTGACTAAATCTGGGCATATCCACTGGCGATGTACATTAATTAGGGTGGTAAGAAAGGCCATGTTAGGTTTGTGTTCCTTGTCAAGCGAGCGCGTGCTTGATCAAATAATGACGAAGAATAGCCGGCGAGACAAGACGAAGAGAAAACAATAGCTGGCGGTAACATTGAACACACAAACACAGGTTAGCTCGTGAAGCTCCGAGCGTTTCAGGACCGTACGAACGATAGTTGCAAATATCACAAACAAAGCCCAACAATGGATTGACCAGCCTCTAGGCAGGTTTCAGCAGGAGTTTGACAACGGCGTTGGCGAAAACCCAATATCTGAGCCATAAAGACGTCCTCAATGCACCAACCACCCAAAAAATACAGTTTTGCTAACCGGCCTTTCACACCAACCTTACTCACGACCTATCTGTGATTTTGAAAGGTATCTATCTATACCTACACATTGGGAGTATCATACATATGCCAGCTCGTCCCCCTCCACCTTGGATGAGCCCCATCTCGCAACTATCCCTCGCGAGGTGTTTCCGCAGGCTGGGGGGAGGGGCCATGAACCGACCCATTCTACCGAGGCTCTCATTAACAAGAAAAAAAAAAAAAAAAAACACGAAACAAAAAGAGAAAAGGGGAAAAAAGTATAAGCGTCCCACGCCTCACACCCCGGGTTTTTGATATGTCCGTAACTCCAGAACGCGTTAAGCCAAGGTCTTCGCCCCTCCCTCGAGGAGGTTTTAGAGCAAGGCTCGAGGCTAGAAAATGCCCAGTCGTTGACACCACCTCGCCTGCCCCCCCATTTCGTCCAAATCCACACGCCTTGCGCTGTCCGCTATTTCCGAGGCTTCCATGATGAGAAAACAATGATCGTTAAATCCCGCCTTACTTGAGCATGGAGTGAGTCCGGATGCCCTTGGGACCATATTCGCTACAGAGATGGTCGCGTTAGTATCTTGATTCCACAAATTGCATGGAAAACTCGGTGAGAAGAATCGGGACTTGCAAACACTTACTTGTAGTCAACTCTGCTCAGGCTGGCCAGGCGCTGGGCTTCGAGACCAGCCATGTCGAGGTTATGCTGGCAGAAGGCGATGCGGGCGGCAACTTGGGCGCCCAGAAACATGGCCTCTTCGAAACCATTCTTGTTCCACTCGCTGAGGTAGGTGGGCAGCGCAGCCAGCCTGATGCTCGTGGGGGTCTGGCTGTGGAAGTGGTGGGACGCGCCCTGCACGCCGTTGGGATCGCCGCCAGGCCCAGGGGTGCCCTGATGCTGGGCCGACGCCGTCGTGGCGGCCTGGAGAAGGGGGTTAACGCCCGAGCCTGCTGTGTTGGCCGGGAGCTGGTGCGGGGCGCCTGTGAAGGAGCCGGTAGGGGTCTGCGCGCCGGTTCCCGTCGGCGTGGCAATGTTGGAAGGAAGCTCCGAGGTGAACATGGTGGCCGTGCTGGGCGAAATAAGGTGGCGAGCCGTCAGCGTCTGGATGATGTTGTCTTTGAGGCCGCGCAGGCGCGAACCGTTGCCGACGAAAACAATGTTCTCCCAGCAGGCGGGGCGCATGTACATGTCCTCGATGCCCTGGACGGTGCGGTAGATGGTCGTGACGATACGGTCGATTTCGCCGCGGTCAGCAAAGGTGAAGCGCTCAAGGCCAACTTCGATGTCCCGGCGGATGCGCTTGGCCTGTCTCTCAGGAGGTGGCGGCGTGCCGTCAGTGGCGGCAGGAGCCTCAGCGGGAGCCTCAGCTGGAGCCGCAGGCTGGTCCGTAGAACCGTTCGTTTCCGGGGCAGGGGCAGCAGCAGGGGCAGCAGCATCAGTTGCTGCCTCGGGCGCCGCGGACTCTGTAGGCTTTACTTCTCCCTCTGCAGCAGGGGCTGGCGCATCAGCTGGCTTAGAGTCGTCCGTCATCTCTACGTCCTTGGACTCGGTGGGGTTGGCCGACTCCTCCTTCTTGGGCTCCTCCTTCGGCTCTGGCTTGGACTCATCTTTCTTAGGCGGCTGCACCTCCTCCTGGATAACCTCCTCGAAGTGGAAGGTGTTGTGTGTACGCTTTGAGTTGGGTAACCGAACCGGCTTGGCGGCCTCAGCCTCCTGAACGGCCTTACCCTTTCTACCGCCTTTGCCCTTCTCAGCCTTCTCCTTCTCCTTCTTGGCCAGGAAATCGCGCGCGTTTCCTGCAGTGACGATACTGGCTACGTCGAGAACACCATCGTCACCCTTGGGCTCCTCAGGCTCATCGTCCGCAGGGGGGCGCGCTGTAGGCTCGGCCGGTAGGGGCGCTTCAGGAGCGGGTCCGCTAGGGGCGGCACCGACCGTTGATGTCGTCGGCAGCTCCATCAGATCCGTGGTGTTGGGCGCATATGGGAGCACCTCGCAGATGTGGCTCTTCTTCAGCTGCTCCGCCATGTCATAGGTGAACTCCTTGTTGCTGAGCTTCTCTAGAAGCTTGCGTGTGAAGACTTCTCCACCGGAGATGAAGCGCTCGGGGGTCGGAGAGCCCAGTTCTCCGTGGTTAACCACGCGGCCTTCGTGTATGCACGTTACATCAACCTTCTCGTAGCCAATATCAACTACCGTTACGTTGGGCCACTTGATGCCATACTGAGTAGCAATGCCGCTGTGAATCATGCAAAGGGCAGGAGTGCGCGTCTTCTCGAAGATGTAGCGTGCGACCGTCTCTGTATCGGGGCGGCACCATTGAGGCGATGCCATAAGCATGATGGGCGTGTTGTGGTAAGTAGTGGTAAGCATGCTGTGGACATGGTCGATGAAGGCTAGGAACGCTTCCATGTTGACAATGCGGCCGCCTAGGAAACCACCCAATTAGCACAATGAAGGTAGATAATTGCATTCGCAACGTGAAAATCGCACCTTGAAGAGGGTAGACAGCGCCCTCGGTCGAGTCTGTATCTTCAACCCACTCGTACTCGTCCTCTTCGGTCCGCGGGCCATCGATAGCGAGCGCGCCATTGACACCGGCCTTCTTGCGTTTGAAGGTGTGATAGGGGCGCCACTCGTCCGTCTCCTCGTCCTTGAACATGCGCGTCGGAATGCGGTGGACGGGCGGGGTCAACTCGCCGCAACCCAGCTGGGCCATCGTCGTCTGGCTGCCGGGGCAGATGACGAGGACCTGGTCCTCGCGAAATTTGCCCGTCTGAGTCGACATCTTGCCGTCGCGGAGGGTGTCCCGGACGCGATAAGAGTCTGTGGTCTTGGAGGGGGTAGGAGAGCCTCGATCGTTGTTGAAGCCGGCTCGCTTTCGAGACTTACTGGGCGTAGCCTTCACAGGTGATGGATTGGGGCGCGGTCGAAGTCGAAGCGCGTATGAAGATCTGCCAGTCGAGGTAAGGGCCTCAGATGTGCTGTTGCTGCTGCTGGCGCCAGCTGGGCTGCCAGTGCTGACACTGGAGTCAGGAGGGTCTGGGGTGGTCCGTGCAGAGAGCATCATCGCCTGAATGTTTCTCCGCTCCTTACAGCCATTGCATACACAGCGAGGCAAGTGTTCCTGAACAGCAATCATGATGCTGCTGATGCAATTTGAGGTGTTGTGATGGTAAAGTCTGTTTTTTTAACATAAAAGGATGGCGTTGTATTTGAAAGGAGGCAATTCACAAAAAAATTTCACTTGAACTTTCACAGCACGAAGGCAGCTTGTCCTTGAGGCTCAGCGTGTTCTAAATGATTGAACATTATCTTTATGCAATACGTTGTAAGACTGGGCTACCATTTCTAGGTAATCTTGTCGGGTCGCCCCTAACAGACACACCTTTGTGTGCCCCAAGTAACGTCCTGCAGCATCTTGAGCTGCCTCAACCGATTTCCAAGTGTCTAAGGTATACATCCCTGTTCTCCAATCCTTTTGGACGCTCCATTGTCCCCGGGTACAGACTGCGTACCTGCCCTCCGGCCCTTGTTATAATGTTATGCTCTCCGTGGCCCGGCCTTTTTATGCCTTATATCCGTAAACGCCTGAAATCAATCCATCATAAAGTTGTTCGTCATTCCAAGTGTTCAGTATCCTGCTCCAAGGATGCAGACATGAAATCCCCCAAACGCCTGGCACCCATAATATCAAACGGGAAGATTGGCCAAGCAATTGCAGTCAAATAAGTCGGCAGTATCGTCGAATGTTGAAAAAGCATTGAAAAAAGAAGAAAAGAAAAGAAAAACGTGAATGGTATCATACGACGTTGACTGCCTTCGGAGCGACATTCCTCGAATCAATGCTGGAAACTTCTTGCAGAGGGCTGCCCAAGGTAGGAATAAATTCGGTGGATTCGTCCGGGAAAGCACCTGGGGCGAGGGGTGTCGCTTGCTCTGGCTCCTGGATCTCGGGAATCTTGACTGTAGACTCATCCACCAGCAGCTTCTCTGTGGCGACAGAATCGGTCCTTTTAAGTTTCTCATCATCCGATACAACCCCTGTTGGGGTTTCCTTGACGGATGAGATCTTGCTCGACTCGCTCTTGATGGAGACAGAATCAATGGACTGGCGAGGGGATGGCGTGAAAGAGGATTGGAGAGGACTGTGGAGATGGCTCACGTCTCCAATCTCGCTTTTGCTTGCTCGAGATGCTCTCGCAGGGCTTCTCGCGGGGAGTGGCGGTGGGATCCTCTTGGGAATCGTCACCAAGGCGCCCTTGGCGTGAATCGGGGCAGCCATGACAGCAGTGCGAGCGGGCTGAACCGCAGCCACCTCATAGATGACGGCCTCCTCCTCTTCATCCTCATCCTCTTCATCAGCATCGCCGTCTTGCTCCTCAGTCTGCACCACTTCTTCCTTCTCATCGTCCTGCTTAGTGATTATGCTGGCGTCATCCTTGGTGTATATACTGGAAGCCTTGGTCGCCGTGTCATCCATGGTGCTTACATCAGTCCGCAGGTGATCATCGCTGTCGCTCATGACGGTTCCCTCAATCGAGTGGCTACCACTAATTTGTCTGAGAGGGGAGAAATCAATCTTGGTGTAGTCAACCTCCTCAGGCTCCTTCAGTACAGGCAAACTGTGAATGGAAGCACCATCCTCACTCTGGCTCTGGCTCTGACTCGGCGAGGTGTGAGGCGTGGTGATGGCCGTGTTGGTGTGAGTGAAAGCTTCTGACAGTTTGGTGTGGTTCGTTTTGGTAGACATGAGACTGCCCCTATTACTTCTCGAAGCGATTGTCTCAACGCTCTGCCTGCTGAATTTTGAGAAAGCCGGGCTGGATGGCGTAGGATTGAACTCGAATTGGTGACTCGTCGGCCGAAGACGCGTTCCGGCTTCCCGAATCTCAAGTCCAGCCATTTCAAGAGCGAGGACGCCAAAAGGATCTGGGTCATCGGCATTGGGGACGCCGAAGGCAATGGAAGTCTTTGGCGATGCGGGCAAACTCCTGGGTGTCTCGATCATGGCGTCTCCTGGTGCGGGCTGGGCCGAGAGTTTCTTAAGGATAGACTGATCGGCATCGATTCTACCTTCAGCCTCCTTGATAACCTCAAACATTGGTCGGGTTTCTTCGACATGCCTCGACACATTGCCGGCAAGGATATCCATCACCGTCACATTGCCGCCGTAGAACCTTTCATTCTCATTTGCCCGCTCTTTCAAGATACAGCCGGTCAAGTTGACGTTCTGAGATTGTCCTCTTGCTTTCATGTACGTCAGGACAGTATTATCCAAGTCTCTCCACTTGCTATCGACCTCTGTCGATTCTAGTGCAACCAAGGGGCCAACAGTGAGGCCGATGTCTTCTCCCAAGGTGATAGTAGGTTTAGTTATTAGTTGTTCGAGAGCAGCGATGTTGTTGATTACCAAGACACAGTCGTAAATATCAACGCCCATCACAAAGCTCAACGAAGGGGTATGGAGGACAATGCCGGACGGAGGTGACCAGGTGCCGTCAGCCTTGCGGGCGATTAAAATACCTGAGCCGCCAGATCCGGTCATCCATAAGCCAGATCGCATGCAAGTAAAAATAGCAATACCGGCAGCATTTTGAATAATTCGAGGAGGGATCTTCTTGAAGATGCGGATCGGTGTTTGTGGTTCAGTGGTGGTAGAAGAGCGGTCCAGTTGGTCGTGCATGGGCGCTAGGAAGCCATCCGCTGTACATGAGAAAGCGATGGTGTTAGTGAATGTGTGCTACACACAATACCAGCAGCGCGGCGAAACCAAGACAAGATTGGGGGCGGGGGGGGGGAATAACTTACAACAAAACGATTTCAAAATGCGGGCAGAACGATCGCATTCGGCATCAAGTGTAGCAGGCCAGTAGGCCTCACGGCCAACACGCGATGCAGCTGTCGCGAGAGAGGTGGTTGCGAGGGGTGCAGGCTTGCTAGACCAGCGGAAAACCTTATCGAGGGGAGATCTGCTGTTTGCGGCGATAATACTGCTCCGGCCGTTGCTTGTAGAACTAGCATTGCTCCTCCTTCTGGCCTCCCAGGACGGGAGGAAGCTTGAAACCCGTTGCATGTTGCGGCTCGCCGTTCGCGGGTTATCGATTATGGACAAGGGCTTTGATGAGGTCTTCTTGGCCCCGTTCGCGGATGAAGACGGGGGTACGAAGACAGCGACATTCGTCGGGCGGTTTCTTGTGATGTTGTTCGCTCACCAACAACACAACACCAAAAGAGAAACTCCTGCTTTCTCTCTGGTAATCCCACCGGTATGGGAAAGGGTTGAGGAAGAGAAGCAGGAAAATGATGGATCAAGATTTCGGGGGAGGAATTGGGCTTTGTTAGACAGGATCAAATCAGGTCCACTGGGTCAACTCAGCCTCCTCCACTTTGCGAGCCAGGCAAAGTAGAAGTACTGCGTACTGTGTTAGTGATGTAGCAAGGTGCAGCGGTGCAGCAGGCAGGCTCACGGTTCACCACGCCAAAGAAGAAAAAAAGAAAAAAAGAGCCAGGGTACGCAGGCAGCGGGAAGGGTGTATGGGCCAAGCGGGGAGTGGGCGTGGTTGTGGGTGTGGGCGAAAGGCGGGTTGGGGGGCGTGTGTGGTCGACAAGGGAGGGAAGAAAAGGAAAGGCCTTGAGGGTGGTTGCGCGCAGGTGACGTGGGCGACGAGGATGTGAGGAGAGAAATGATCCCTGTCCCTGACCAGGTGGTTGACGGCGTCGGACCAGAGTCCAGATGGGCGAGAATCTACTATGTAGATGGACTAGGCCCGGGGCGTGAGTTCAGCACCAGCGCCAGTAGCAGGGACCGTCGAGAGACCAGGCCCAGTACACGAGGAGAGGATGGCGGTGATTGTGAGCGAGGGTGAGCGATGGTGTGAAATCCACTGAATTGTTGTTGGTTTGGTCATGGAAGAGCAGCCCGGCAGGTATTTGTTGTTGGGCAATGGGGCAATCAGGTAAGGATAGTGTCTAAGTCGGTAGACGCGGGATCAAAGCAAGCATGCGTATCGAAACGGCAATCCAATCCCAGCCAGCTAAAGGCAGGGAAGGTATAGTACATACACACACGCATACATACATTGTGGGTAGGAAGCATGTAAGGTGAAATCTGGTAGAAATGTATCCTTCCAAATGTGGCCCGGTATTTGCTTTGTGCTCGAGAGTGAGAGGGAATACGTTAAAAAATAAAAAATAAAAAAGCAAAAAAAAAAAAAAAAAAGAAAAAAGAGAGTAAGTGTGAGTGAGACTAGGGTCAGGGACCTTGGCGGCAAGAGGGATATGATGTTCAGGTACATCTCACTTGACGCAAGATAGTGATCAATTCTGCGAGTAAGCCAGGCATTCAAAGGTGATTGTACATGTAAAGCTAAAGCCGGAGACGACGGCCTCAAATCAGACAAGGCCGCAAGAGAAAGGTACATTGTACCTACCTGGCTGGAGGAGTTGACCCGATCGAGCGTGGGCTATCGCCTCTTCTGGCGTTCCCGGGCAGAGTGCAGGCGTGGTACGTAAACCGAGGCGGAGCCAAACTCTCTCGACTGAGGAATCCAAGCTGTCGGCGTCATACCAGCCTATGTATTGTCATGTCAGTGACCTGTCATGCAGCTTGACCTCACGGCGAAACCAGACTGCAACACGACTGACAGGCAAGCGCTTGCATTGGTGGTGTCCATAGTTTGCTTGCTGCTAGTAGTAAGTATGCGCATTATGATGCTCGTGCTGAGTCGCATTGGAGGACTGGCTGCCACTAACAAAAGCTGTCGACTACCTGGTATACCTAGACGCTATAGCGCCGCTGCAGCTGCAGTGGTGGGGCGATGATTACTGTATACTGTTGTTAGCTGGAGGCGCCTTAGGTAGTGGTCTGGCTTGCCTCGACTGATTTTTAAATACTCCATAGTACATACATAGCCTGTGAGCTGTGGATCGTGGATTGCGGGTTGTGACTGACTGTGCGGTGCTGCCACTCTACGGCGCACTTTCCGCTCTGAAATGTTTTGCTAAGACTGATGAGACCAAGACTGAGACTGCATATCCGAAATGTACGTCCATATATGCAAGGCGGCCATCACGCGTGACGAATGTAGAGCGACATCCACTCGATGCCAGGGAACCTCTCGGCAAGGAAGGGTACCTTGGATGACCTGGCGTTGCTTGCTTACTAGCACTATCTTGCTTACCTTTGCCTCCAAACCATCCTAACCCTTCCTTCCCTACCCATGCTCCTCTCCGCTCTATACACAGAGGTTACGCCGGCAACAGTTCACGTCAGCGCAAGAGGAGGTGGGAAAAACAACTTCTCATCTCACTTTTTCTTACCTTACGCTTGCAGATCGGGGCTAGAGAAGAGACAGTATCCGGCTTAAAGCTAACAGAAGCAAGGGGGAGAAGGGGAAAAGATTGAGGACAGAAAAAAGAAAGCATGTTGATAAAAACAAGCAAGTATCTAGAAAGCCAATCTCAGTCATTGCCTCAATCGGGGGTGTGGAAAATGCAATACCTACAGGTGCGCACACTATAGAAAGCACATGTACCAGCACTTGTCTTCAGCCTAGAGTTCCTTGGGTTCATCTCTGTTATTTTCATTGGCGAGACCATCGTGGGCTACCAGTAAGCAAGGGAGGAAGACAGAGCGAGAAATCTTCTTGAGTCGTAGCATTAAATGAAATGAAACCCCGTTATTTCGTTGCAAGCCAGTTGCCAGCGACACTTATCCACAGGCGTCTCTTTTGCCATGCACGGTCCAAGACAAGAGTAAATGGGAAAGGGGAAGGGGGGGAAAAGGGTCTGGGTGCGTGAACCGCACGCGGACAGTTTTCATCCTACTAGATTTGAGGTATCCTTGAACCGCCCTGAGGAGCAGTCTGATCCATGCTTCGGATGAGTATAACATGTCGAGCACAATATGCATCGCTCGCATGTCCGCAGGATGAAGCACTAGGTTGCTGTGCAGAATCCATACTTGGAGAACAGCCAGTTACTTGATCCTAGTATCAGGATTCTAGTACAGGGAGGCCAGAATAACTTCATCTCGGCACCTGCGCAAAACTTTGCGGCAGCCTCCATGTCTGGCGGAAGGGGCTCCGAGGGACATACATTTTGGGAAAGCAATACCCACCAAACACCATAACGCCGTGGTGTTCTTGTCCAAAAGCAACAACTTGGGACCAGCCAAAAGAAAAAAAAAAAGTTTAATCAAAGTTCCATATTCGGTGCATGCCATCAACTGCGACTTCCTACCCAACTTGCCCTCAGGGTGTGGGCCTTCCCAATCATATGGCTGAGAAACTGTCTCTCGCCTTCCCCAATGAAGTCTCACACTTGTCTCTCAAGTCACTTTCTTGTCATCAAAGTCCCAGTCACTCAAACACCACCACTACCACGACCACCACCGCCACATCGTCTGGCCGACTTCGCATCCACCAGCGCACCTCATCCTCTCTGCCCCCCTTGCCCCTCAAGTCCTGGCTTGCTGCACCTCCCGGCTGCAATGAATGCAGTGACTGCTGCACCCAAGACCAACAATTGTCCGAAGGAATGGGTCCGCTGGTCGTCCGACCTATCCAACGCCTTACAGTCTCGTCATAATACTTTCAGACTATTGGTACCTTACTCTATACTACCTGCACCCATCTGGCATCCCACCCACCTGGAGGCCCTGAGCTTTCAGCCATGCTCAGGCATGTCGACGTCTCTCCTATCTCGCCCATGCTCAATCATGTCGAGCCTGACAACTCGTGATGGCGGCTCCCCTCGTTGGATTGGAGAGGGTGTGGTGCTCTATTCTGTGTTCCTGGCTAACGTATCTATTACCACTATTGCGCCAATATCGACGCACTGAACCGCCATTTTCTCGTATGTGTGCTTGTCAGCCTACTTGAGCCTGAGCCGCTTGTTGGCCCCCATATCGTCGTATCGTCGTCCCTTTTTCTGGCCGCATTTGGCCGGTGTTCGTCTCGTTTTGGCCAACTGCTCATCCTACCCCGCTGTCATCTGTCATCCTCTAACCCTCACATTGGGGGCGGGGAACCTGGGTGGCCGATGTTCTCTTCACACCACCGATCACCACTGCGTTAGCTCGTGAAACTCTTAGGCCGAAAAGGCTCGAGCATGAACCGAGGAAACCGCCCACAGCAATTGCGCTCAAGCCACGACCAGGGGAAATGGAAAAGCAACCACTGCGACAATAAACCACCTCGAGCGATCCGGGAACTGTTTCATTCCATCCGGCATGGTCGCCGCTGCCGTCTCCCGAACCTGCCGCTTCAAAGGAAAAGGAACATGGAATCCTTTGGCTCAAGTATCTGCAAGCGCGTCTTTTCACAGGGCATGTACTTTGATCATTACTCATCGGCACGGCGAGGTTCCGAAGATTATCACCCCAGAGAACTGATACTGGCATCTGACGCTATCACACCAATGTCTCGAGCCTGCCTCCCTTGGTCTCGAAAGGTGCGTCCTGCAGCGCTGCATTCTTTTGTGAGGCGAAAAGCCCATGCGCCCTTGAGACGCCTTTTCCTGCAGCTCAGCGTCGGACTGTGACATGCACTCGCCCGGGCTCCAAGTATTGCCTTCTACAACACTCACTCCAGAACCTTCAACGACAGTACCTGACAGCTGCCTTGATTCCTTTTTTTTTTTTTTTTTTTCAACCATAACCATGGCGTTGCTCACGGTTGGTTTTTCTCACATGCCTGCTTGTCTTTGTCCTAAACTTGTGCCGCGGGAACTATAGCCGGCCAACACTAATCTTGTAAGCCACCAGCCGAAGAGGAAACGACGTCGTCACCCGTGCTGTTCATGCCATCAGCCGATTCTCCCCCTCTTCCTCCCCTCCCTTGCGCGGGTAGCAGGGGTGGGGTCTCATAGTACGAAGGAAGGGCCATACTGCGCCAGGTGCAGAAGTTAGCCCGTCGTGCGGTTAGCTCTGGTCCCTTTTCCCATCAGCAGCTCAGTCCTCTAGTTGGGCCTTGCATGGCTACTATTTACTAGTAGTAAAGATAGAGGTTCTAACTCAATCACCCGAACGATATCGTCAGCAGTCCGGTTTCTGTCCGGAATTTCCTACCACGGGGCGTAACAAACTCGGGTCCTTCTAAGCTAGACGTGCACATGGCCGAAGGGGATCGAATGCCAACGGGTAATTGATGTGTCAATTACCACACCACGTTGTCGCCAAGGCCTCTAACAAATTCCATTCCGTCTTCGCATCACTTTGCTTTCAAGGAAGAAAAGGCCTTAAAAATTGACACTGCAGGCGATCGGATAGGGCTTATCACCCGCTCATAACAACTGCTTCTGTTCCAAAGCTGAAGAGACAATGGCGGGTACGGACACGGTCACTTGCAGTCCCAGCCACCTGGAAATTGCACGTCGACCCCAGAATGCAAGCAAGGTAGACCCACCCTGAAGTTTGCGATGCCTGCAACTCACCAATTACGTGCGTCCCATTGGCCATGTTGCTTTTCCCCACGCTCGTAAGGCCTCAGTATCCAACCAAGTCCCCAGGACCAATGTATGTAGAGGACGGGATCAGACCGGACAACAGCTCGCTCAAACGTTCTCTGTAAGACTGAAAGAGGTCACATCACGATTCATGCTAGCCAGCATCAGACCGTTACCCCTAGCTTTAGAAGCTCGATGTTCTAAGGCGCCATGCGACGCACACCCAGGTTTAAGGTAAGCAGACGATGAGGATCCGGTCGCCTCGACGCTTTACGTCCCAGATGGAAGCATTCCAGGGCTTCGTCAAAGATTAGTCTGTTCGAGAATCATTTCGCGTGTTCTCGGCAAATGTGACAGTGAGCCTCAGGCGTCGTTGCTATTTTGACAAACACATAGCCTCCCATAGCGGCCCAAAATAGCAGGATCAACCTTGAAAGTTGTCCTGGACAGGAAATGAGAATCTCCGCCTGTTCAAGCGAATTCCGCCATGTGTGGAGCAAAGAAACATCAAAATTGAGATGCCACCCGGAGATCCAAGCCACATCAGACGACCCATAGTGGGCGGTGCTCGGTCAGCAGCCAGCTAGCGCTGTGTTTTCCACCCCCTTCTTCCCTGACTCACTAAGAAGAAAAATCCGGCATTAGAGGTCACTCCCGTGCCAGGGAAGATGCAAGAAGCCTCAATAAGCGTCACCGACTCTACAACCTTAAGGACGAAATTGATGGATGATCACTCGACCTCCTAAACTCAAAGCACTGTACAAATGTATTCTGACTTTGGATTCAGAGGCAACGAATCTGGGACTGTTGCTACACTACGTGCGCCGCAGTCGTCGGGCCCCTTTTGTGTTTCAACCGCAGATGAGCTGTGTACCGAATATACAGCTTATCGGGGCTCCGCATCAGCGCGCCACAGAGGTCTAAGGCCTTGAATTTCAACTCCTGGCTCTTGACTCTTGGTTCTGGCAAGGCATGTTCAGTCCGGACGGTCACAGCCGGTGAATCCGTCTGTGCGACCCATGGCCAGCCGTTAGGGGGTTGAGTCGGATTCACCGGGTGCGCCAATGACGGTTGGGAGCCGTTAGCGAACGGGGCGTCCGCAAGTACCGAATCGACCTCGTGGCAAAAAGAGGATACAAATGAAAGATTTGAACGCAAAAGGGGGGTTGGTCCCTCCATTAACAGCAGCCAAATATAGGTATAGTCAGTGCTGTCTCGACTCGCTCTACCCAAGGACCGAAAGTAGCCAAAATGGAACCCAAAAAGCCAATTGGCGAGGCGGACAGGCACTCATAAAGTGAAGGGGTCATGATAGCAAAGTGGGTAGGAAGGAAAGAGGCCCGTCAGGGTGGAGGCGGAGCCCGAGCTCGCCGCCGATCGTCACAGGTTCAGATTCACGGTTGCACGGAGTCGGGGCCACCTGAGCCCTGTAACTGTGCACCCGTCCACTAAGGCAAGGCAAGGTAGGCAGGCTCTAGCCCTGCCGTGCCCTGCCGTGCCCTGTCCCATTCCGCCAAACTGAAGTGTATCTGCCAACTGCCAGGATATGTTCTTGGGCCTGTTTCCAACCGGGTCAGTCCAAGGTCCTTGCCTGCTTCAGAAGCCATGAGGTCATCAAAACCCATGCTCTCCTTAATCTCTCCGCAACAGGTTCTTCCCAGTAAGCAAGTTGTTGAAACACTTTTTTTTCTTCTTCTCTTCGTGTGATTCGTTCGTCATTCTTTCTCATCCCCCCCTCTCATTGTACTCAAGCTACTCCGTAGTGAAAGTAGCGTTCGGAGCTTCTCGTGAGCTAGCACAAGCCCGAGATACTAGCTGGTGGGGTCTGGTTTACACCCACAGCACCATAGTCTACGCTTGGACGACATCACAGCTGACAAACACGTTTTCTTTGAAGCCAAAACAAAAAGACATATTCGAGAATAAGAATTAGAACTAGCAAAGAACTCCGGCCCAAGCCCTGTTTTTCGACGCCAGAACGCTCAATATCCGTACGCTCAAATGACCTTGACCTCATGATTTAGTTATCCGCACTGTTGGCCCACGTTTGTGGGTGGCCAGACTAGAAAGTTCTTTCCGACCACGAGGCGTGGAATTAAAGCTGCTTCTTCAGTCCGCCGAGGGATCCAATGCCGTCCGCGACCTCAGCCGCTTGTTTGTTTCCCTTGAGCTGCTCTGCGGGGTTTGTTAGCCGGCGGGGGGATGCTCATGGGATATTTCAGTTCTCGTTATTGTCAACGCACCATCAACAAAGTCTTGTCCGGCCTTCTGCCCCTGGGCCTGAAGTTTCTTCTTCTCCGCCTCGGCCTTTGCCTTGAACATCATGATACTTCGGGTCACAATCGTTAGCTGGACGTTCCCCCTCACTGCGGCTCTGCCACCAGCTTCACCCCGACTTCCGGGGGTTCAAATTCAGAACAACTCACCCAATCTGCTCGATGATGGGGTCCAACATGCCCTGCTGGTAAGCGAAGAAGCCACCAACAAAAACGGCGACAACGATTGCCAGGGAAATGATAAGGGACTGCGTGGTTGACGTCTCCATTGTCGTAGATTCAAGTCGCTATTCCTCAGTGTTTGGTGTGTTGTAGGCGCAAAAGTATCTTTATCTGTCTAGATCGGGAATCACAAGCGTGAAGAAATTGAAACTGTCCAAATTACTTACTTTCTTTTTCCGCTCTCTTCTTCAGTTTATATCTTTCTCAAGATACCTTCAAAACTTGGCCTGGTCTGCAGTCGTCCCTTTCGTGTGTGCGTAACCTCGCGGGAGCAAAAGATCGGCAATGACGTGCCACCTAGCCTGTCGGCGCGGGGGCAGCTGCGGCATGGTGCGAGCGAAATCAGGGTCCTCCCCTCGGTTGCCCTGCTATCAACCAAGATTCGGTACACCATCGCGTCAGCGCGGAGCGAGAAGCTGCATCACACTGCTTCCACGGAACGATGGCAAACAAGCCGTCTGCCCGTCCGCCCGTGGAGCACATGCACAACACTTTTGTGCTGTGCTGGGTTTTCTTCACCGCGTACCCTAAAGTTCGGGGGAGGAAGGATCTCATGAGACCTCTTGACACGCCCCAGTGGGCGGTCGGCACGATGACTTCAGCGATTAGATGAGGGGGGGTTTTGGACCCTGCGTGATGGCGACCTCATCGTGCAGGAAATGATGGCGGCCGAGTGGGCTGTGCGTGGTGGCCGTGTGGTATTGGTTTTGATTTGTCCCATTCATGTCACGCTTTGTAACGTCGGCAGTTGCATTCACGCTGAGTGGCTCGCTTGGCTAGCCGTTTCTTGATGGTTCAACCGGTATTAACGTCGCTGCGTTCGAGCGCTGGAAAATTTGTTGTTCCTGGAGGCTGAAATTGTTCCTTGGCATGGTTGGAGTATTATCTATGCAAGCCTGGACCCAGGTTAGGAGAACGTGGAGGGCGGTTGTGCTTGTGAGATATTCTCTATCAATGCCCGCTCTACACGTTTGAAGAAGCCGGGCCCCAACAAGCCAGGCGAATTTTCCGTCTTTCGAGCTTCTAGATGGCTCTCGGTAGAGTTTATGCTTTGCAGCCTTGTCCGCAAATCGCGGGCATTCTCCTTTCCGTAGCGTGTCATCTGGGTATGAGGATATACTCTGTAGACGACAACTTAGCTACAAGAACTATCTTCTTCTTTTTTCCTTGAGTCTTCCTACCCCTGGCCTTCTGATGCCCAGTTTGAGGTGGCTGGGTTACTTGCCTTGGCTAAAGCTCTCAGGCTGTATTGGCCGGTCTCAACTGGCCAGTCTCCTGCCACTCTGTCGAGGCAATGTCAAGAACAGACGTGGTCGAAGTAACGCCTCGAAGTTTAGGGGCCGTCGTGGTTGTTCCTATTAGATATTGAAAGAGGGGGGGGGGGGGGGGTCATCACCCACTTGTTTCATTTTGGATCCAGACAAGTAACGATGCTGCTCTGTGTGGATCTATTCCATTTTTAACGAGCATGAATATTGCCAAAGTTAAACACATGGGTGTTGATACAACAATGCGAGCAGGCCAAGGTGCCCCGAGACCGACGACGGCAATGTATCATTTCGCGCAGCTTTGGATGTCTTGTTTGAACATAAATCAACGGGTGGCTGACGACCTCAAACGACGTTTAGTTTGAGGATCCATATGTTGGTTCGTGAAACCCCTCTCGACAGACAAATATCGTCTCCGTCTGGGATCCAGTTGGATGCTGCGTCAGGATCTGCGCGGCGTCGAGCGTGTCGCGTCCAGTGCTACACGCATGGTAGTCTCAGTCCAAGACATCCGGAAACTTAGGCCCGGTTTCTCGTTTAATACAGACTCTCGCGGCTGTCTATTGGGATACCAGCGGCACCTTGAAGATACCGGCCATCGACAAATGCGAGGTTTCTAGCGGGCCCAGCGAGTCTATTGCAACATGCTTGACGCGAGTTTTACAGTTTTCCGGAAAGGAAGATTGGCAGTATTCGTTGAAAGAGGAGATTAGCACTTGGAGTATTCACTGCCCTCGAGAGCTGGTCGTTCCCACCGACCGAAGTTCTCATCCATCTGGCCAAATGCTTCAATGATGATGGACAGCGCAAGAGACGAGACTGATAATCCCAGTGCCAACGGCGTCCGCGAACGAAACCTCCCAACCACACTCTTGCTCATCCTTCTCACTACTGGTCTAGCGAGCGCTATTGTTCCAGCGTTCTTTCGGTCACTTAGTTTTCTGGGTCATCTTCCTTCTGTTGGTTGTTGGACGGTGGTCGATTCGACTCCCCAGGACAGACAACTCGGGGGAAGCCTCCATGTTGACTACACATCTCGGGGATGGCCCCGCACATAATGGCTACGACGCTTGAGAAGTATTTCGATTCAGACGACAAAGACGACATCATAGTGGATAACCTTGAGTCGTCGAATTCCCTTTTTCTTTGCATTTGACCTAAAATTTCGGCAACAGGATAGCTGGGCTTGAATATCTTTCACTATCAAGTCAACATTTTTCCGGTATGGACTTGAACGTAATGTGTAGTCTCTATGGAAGGCTTGCAGGGAAGGAAGTAGTGAGCTTTCGCGGCTTCAAATCAAAGTTCGCAAGACAAGGCCATGTTGCGAGGCAGATCTCAAGCTGTGTTTCTCCTCGCCCCTTGCCGCTGGCGTTCTTGTGGCACAGAGCTCTAGCCCTGCCGCTTCTGTTCAGTGGATATTAAGCAGTGGCGGCTTTCCTGCTGAGAACATGGCCTAAACTAGCTTGCAAGGGCATGTGCACGTGTATGTCGTAGCTTCAGAAGCGTAAAGATAGTATGTATGTCTTGTTACAAACTCACTTCGCTGCCTCGATAGTTTCTGGCTCATACCCTACTCGGCTGGCTTCAAGATATGCTGGGAAGTATTAAGGAAGAAAGATTGGTAGCATTGCATAAAAATGCTTTTGTGAACTTTTCTTGGGCCCAGACCACTCATTCCCTTAGCGACCATCTGGATGCTTTCACTTGACCTGGGCTCCGCGGCACATACAGCTTTTCAATGTCCTCCTTGTCGCGAAGGGGCGGAGCGAAGAGTGATTTGGGCATGCTTCCCTACTTAAGGCAGGCACAGCATGATGCTACTCACAAAGACACGGAAGCATTGGAAAGGAGACGCTCAAATCTAATAGTCATGGCTAAGCCTCCTGCCGCTCTATGTTAAACGCTTTATGAAGTAAGCTTTGGTGGGATGCGGTTTTTGTTGTAGATAAGTTGCATCCTGCGGGACTTTCAGGCCCAAGACCCTTGGTATTTACCAAATCTCCTAGATGTGTTACTTTCCCACCGAATCCCCTAGCAAATGCAAACCTGCCAGTTCGAAGCATGCAAGGCCAGGAAATTGGCAAGGGGTTCGTTCACGTCTCTGGAACCCAACAAAGATTTGGCCCTATACTCTGAAGACAAGTCATAATAAGCGATGCCGCTTTTTTTGTTTGTCTCCCTTGTCAGCAAAATTTCGGTCGCATTATCTACGAGTTAAATGACTTAGTCTCGCTTTTTCTGCTGAACAATGTGTCACTGGCATACCCGGAGATGAACTGGCCCGCAAACCTGTTGCCACAAGTGGCAACAACTCAGGGAGGGCCACATCGCATTGTGGCCAAGAATCATAGTTTCTTGCCGATGAGAAATCCAGTATTGAATTCACCTTCATTGAATCAATCTCCTTCAACAGAGTCTACACCTCCCTGGGAAGCTCGATTTTGAGGTACCACAACTTCTACGCCACTTGGATGAGTCGATTGACAAGGCAACACCTCATAATATCTTACTAGCAAACTCGCCTATTTTGTTTGCGTTCGAATTTAGGTTGATTGGCCACGTGAGGAAAGTCTATTGGGAAGTTAATGAGCACCCTGGCCGAGGACCTGTCCGGAAAGGGGTTGTCAAACCCAGGAGCGGAGAAGCAAGATTGCATAGTCCTCCCCAAGGAAAGATGAGGACGAAACCAAACCAAACCTTGGCACCATTTAATTCAAGAATCCGGAGAGTCTAACTTAAATTCATCTGCAGAGATGTGCTCCGGGTAACTGTTTGATTTTAGAACCACATGGCACTACCACCGCAGTTCCTTGGGTTTCCCAAATGTTGAGGTGAAACAAGAGTTGTCCTCTGTTTTTAGAAAACTAGCTTTTACAGTTAGCTAAAATGCCATGCACATTTCTTGAGTCCTAGGTTTCTTCTCGTGTCGGGAAGCAGAGCGGTGACGGCAGGAAAGTCATTCGCTCCCACACCCAGTATGGCCGTGTCCAGGTTGTAGCTGGCTAGCTAGTACCTTGATAAAAAGGCAAAGAAGAGGTAGGATACCTAATGTAGAGCTCATTTTATGCTGCCAAACACCCTAAATGTTCTCTGCCCATTGCTGCGCTGCTGTTTCGTTCGGGCGCTAGTATTCCGGCCTGTCGACTTTAGATTCTTTATTTCTTTTTTTACCCCATTCTTGATGAAGGGCTGCTGTGTCCTCTGTGGCTTCGAAACTACTGCCCGAAGATTGGCCATTGTCCATGGATCAAAGGTACGACGAAGACTGAAATCTTAAAGCTTAGTTGTTATTCCTTTTTATTGTGGCCAAAGAGCAGAATCTAGATCCTGCCCCATTTGCCAGATGCCTTCTACTCGGCTTCAGAGAAAGAAACCCGGGTAAGGCATGGTATCCCCAAGAACGTACTGTTCAAACACCACCCCGTCCAAGGCAGTCTCAGCAACGCTCCCGCTCAACCACTTGGGCCTTTCCACCGCTTCCCATTCATCATTATTCGTAGGATAGAAGTCGTATGTCTCGAATACAGTCTGAATGTGATCGTCTATCTCAAACTCAGTCTCGTCAGCTTGTCCAAAGTCACCCTCAAGATGCACACGTTCCAGCACTCCCTTTTCCTCCCTCAATGCCTCTTTCAACCCTGAAAAGAAGGCGAACCAGGTCCCCTCCTCTAACCAGATACCGCCTCTTGATTTCTCCCTCGGGTTCGCAACTCCCCTTCCACCAAGCCTCAACCTTCTCAAAGTCGGCACTTGACGAGTCACAAAGCTTAACAACTCTTCCCCCGTCGCCGCAAACCCCTCGAGCTTCAGATCCGTCAGCTGGAAGGGGTTGTCCCGCAGAAGTAAGTGATTCAGCCTGCTAGTCTTCCGCCTTCGAGCTTTCAGCGGGGTGTAGTAATGTTTCGAAATCGCAAGCTTCTTCACACTCCAACAATCCATCAATAACGCCCCCACAGACTCGCCCCAACCAGAGTACGTCTGCCCGGGCAACTCCCCACCTTCGAGCCCCGAAAAGTCCAGTGCCAGCTTGATCTCCTCCAGTCGTCTGCCGGTGCTGCTCGCAAAGGCCCCCCAAAGATTCTCAATATCAACTGACGGCCGCATCGTCATGGGAAAGCGATCGATATCCAGCCGCTTCAGATGCACACACTCGGCCAACATCCTTGTTAAAAGCTCAAATGTCTCTTTTGCCTGCGCTGGTTCAAACCGTCTAGAGGATGGATCCGAGAATGCTCTCCTCAAGACGTCATTCTCGTAAGGACATTCGTTGAAAACGACTCTCACATTCTCAAGAGCCTCGAACATGCCCATGGCCGCAGGCAACCCCACTCCATCCCTCTCAAAGGTCGAACCCGCCGCCTTCCGCCCGGCTTCCTTGTCATAGTACTCCCCCCACCCTGCCCTCAGCACCGCATCTCTATCCTCGGGCATCATGGCCCAGTACTGAAAGAACGAGGAGTGCCGCCCAGTGTACTCGTCCATCTGAGAGAGGTTGATTGTCAGCAAGCGGAGCAGGCGGCGCAGGCGGGCATGCCGGGACCAGCTCTCCAGACGCCGCGCATCATCACCGCCTCGCCAGTAAAGATAGGTAAAACATGGCTTGAACAGGTACGGGAAGCCTAAATTTGCGTAGGCACGACATGTGAGGCGGAGGGTTTTGATAGTTTCTATGGAAGAGGAGGAGTTGGAAAAGATAAGCTCGACCAGCTCGACGGGTAGGTCCGATGCCATAACTCTTCGCGCACAGTTTAGAGTCACTTTTTTTTTTTTTTTCTTTCTTTTTTGGTCGCGATGGTTCGTCCAAGAAGGCTTACGATTTGAATGAGGATGTAAATCCAAGTTATTTTCTGATACATGTTAACCCGGCATCAAGAGGGTGAGGGGGCGCCGGTGATCTGGAGGATCCACATAGTCGAGAGTTTGGCCAATCACCTCGAGGCACTCACTTACCTGCGATAGAATCTCTCATCCCCCCCTTCAACCTCCTCCACGCAAAAGTTCTTGTTCAAACCACGGCCACATTCGGCTCAGACTTGTCCAGCCCAGCCAGCTTCAATTGGTAAGACTACTATTCAAGCGTAATGCCGCCTATGATTGATTTCCCGACTGACTTGTCAACAAATTCAGGCAGGTGTACCATCGGCCTCTTACGCATAACCATCCGCATTTCACTCTCACATATCATCAGATCAAGCCTCTCGATGTTGAAGTAAGCTTAGACATATAATTCTTACCTTGCCCTCTCATCCCCATACTTGACTCCAGCACCCCCCACCTTGCTTCTCGGCCTGCTTCTCCCACTGGCACGTTATTCGGCTGACGCCCGCCCACAGAGCGTACAAGAACCTGTCCCCCAAGACGCGTCTGGGTTTCGGCGTGGCTGTCCTTGCCTGGGGCGGGGCAGGACTCTACCTTTCAGACCGGGCTGAGGAGAAATACAAGCCGACACCACAGGAAAAGGCTGTCGTCGACAAATACGTTCCTAAAGTCCATGTCGTGGACAAGTCGTGAAAATTTTGGGCGGAGCATGACGTGCCCATAGGAGACCGGGAGGGATTCCTTATGTAACACCAGTCAAAAGAACATGATACACTCATCATCGGATAATCGTCAAACATATGTATTCTATCTTACTCATCCATTACAGAGGGTCACAGAGGCAACAGCTTGAGAAAACGGTTTTGGTTTGTACAGCCTAGTCAATTTTGCAATGTCTAATTTCTAAGTACGTACTGACTTTCGAAGAGCACTCAACTGTGCTGGCGGCAAAAGGAGTGCTGCTGCAGACCGGTTTTTTTTTTGTTTTCGCGATAATGACAAGTACCACCCATTTTTTGAGACATCTAACATTAGACCAGACCAGCCTAGCCGCGCAACCGCTTTAACGAAGTCATTATGAGCGAAAAGCCATGAATATCGTGACAACCTCACCAGGCCACCTTTGGTGTCACCCGAGAGCCTCCCAAGTTCTATCTGATCGCAGTCTAATGCAGTGCCAACTCCTCCTCCCCGTCTATTGCGCAAAACCACCCGCCACAAGATGCATATCAGAACTAACCACCGTGGATCCGGCTTTGATGCAGTAGGGAATCGAGGTTGCTTTTCGGCAACAAAGCGTATGAGTTGATGAGAACGGATCCGTGAGGAAACATGAAAAAGTGTAAAGAAAGAAAAAAAATAGCAAACAAACGCCACCAAATGCAGATGATTTTTTGAGTGTCAGAGCATGCCGCCGGCCACTGTACTGATATCCGTCTGAACAGAAGGAATTCCTGGATCTTCCACCACTGCCGGAAGAGGTTTAAAAAGTCGTGCCATGTCGAGTGTTAGGTTCGTAACCCCAAATTCCTTGTCGATTTCTCCAACCGATCCCAATTCCTCGCCCCGCGAGGCACCATCCGTCATTACCCAAGTTTTTACTGATTTGAGAAGTTGCATCACTTGCATAAATCTAGTGTCTGAGCCCATTTGCAAATCTGTTGCCCGAGTGTGCTTCAGGAGATATGTCGCCAACCAGTAGAAGTGAATACCATCCCTGGAGAACCCATATCTCCTTGCATTCTTGGCCATGCCAGGCGGGAATTGGTTGTTCATGTCCGCATCCCAATTGGATTTGAACTTCTGCAGCGCCATACGGAACGACTCGTGCACGTGAGCTGGCATAGCCTGAAGAGTGGGATCAACCGGAGTAGCTCTCCCGCTGTTTGCACCGTTTCCATCAGTTCCGCCATTGACCATCCAGTCGCTCAATGGAGGCGTCGCGTAACCTTTCATTACAGCGTTGCCATCCAGTTGAGCACGGCGAATCAATGAGAGAATAGCGTGGATCAGGATGAACTTGCCATAGAGATTTGTGCTGCCAGGCTGAATCTGATACGAGCCATGCAGCAATGCCCTCAAGGCAAGATCCATCTCTGGTTGCTTGCTGCGTTGCGTGCCGTTCGGGTTCTTCTGGCGTACCAAGTCCTCACCGTGTAACCCAAGAGCGTCCTCACAGTCCTTCTTCGTCCGTGCATCCCATGCAGCGTCGTCCGAAGGAAGCGGGATACGCATCTCGAAGCTATCTAATTGAGAGCTGGCGTTGAAATAAAGTTCCATAGAAGAGTTGCAGAGGAAGATGATGTGCATGAGGCGTATCCGCTTTTCCTGTTCAACCCACACACCCCAATCGAATGTGGAGACATCGAAGTTCTGAGGGGTAAAGTTGTTTTGGTGCAGCGGACTGAGGGGTATCGTAGTGGATACCTCCATCAGCCGAAGCTTTCGAGTCTGCTCCGCCAGGACAGGGAAAATGTCACGGGCGCTCTCGCGATGTTGAGGAGTGCCGTTCCACATTAATAAAATTTGGAGCAGCATAACAGCTTGAAGCTCCTCAATGTCACGTTGACCGTTATTTGATGAGCGACTGTCGAAGTTTCCACATTGCTGCTTGCCCACCGTGGTAGCTAAGAAATGCACGTCGCGAACTAACGCCGCCCGGAGGAAGTTCATCATATCGCGCACGTGATCTGGGGAGAGACGGTTTGAGTAACATGCACCCATACAGCACATGCCTGCAAGTAAGCCAGTATACGATTCCAGGATACGGAACGTCGGTGTGTGGAGGATGGGGAAGTGCACATGGAAGTGCGTGTACTTTTCCAGAAAATCGCGTATGTTTTCCGCCGAAAAGTATAAGTTGAAACCGGCGCTTTCGTTGGTAATCGGGGAACCAGGGGGGTAAAAGAAGTTGAGGATTTGGTTGGAAATAAGGGTATAAGGGTCCTGGATCGATGGCGGTACGCCCCAGGTGGAGAAGAAGAGGGAATCGGCGTGGTGGTTTCGGTCAGGAAGACCATCTATTCTTTCGGTGCCAGCACTAGGCTCTTGTTTGGTTGCGATCTGCGTCTGTCCAAGATTAGGAGTTGTGAATGTATTTGCGTAGGTTTGTTGCGCACCAGCCTGGAACATTTGAGACCAATCAAGGCCCGATTGTTGGTTCGAGTTTGACCCGCCATACATGGACATGCCATTTTGGCCCGGGGGCATATTGTAGTTTTGCATCTGTTGATTCATGTTGGGCGCCATAGAGCTAGGGACATCGCCGTTGTATGCCTGCTCGAAGCTGCCGCCGCGGCCTTGAGCATCCATGACAGATCCTGTCAAGCCCCGTCTGTCCTGGTTATTGCCATTATCAATTCTTGTCAGACTGCTGGAGCGCGACAGCTGGTTCTGATCATTTGCAAGGTTGCCCATTCCATCCGACACAGGCATCATACCAAAAGGCTGAACCATGCCGTCAGCGGGGATATTACCTAGACCGTTGAGGTGGTTCAGTCCGCCATCCTGACCAAGAGCTGCCTTCTGAGCAGCGGCATTCTTCTTGACATGGGCCTGAGGGTGAGACAAGTGACTAGCACCAGTCGGGTTGCCTCGGCGAATGGAGCACTTCTGGAAGTGACGCTTGAGAATGTCACTGCGCGAGAAGGTGTCGCGGCAAAGAACGCACATGTAGGGGCGATCGCCCGTGTCTGCGAAGGACGCTTGTCAGCCAAGCCAAGTGAGGGGGGGAATCAGGGAATACTCACGGCGCAGAAGATGGCGCTTCAGGTGCTTGGCGTGCAGGTACGTCTTGGTGCAGTGAGGGCAAGGGAATTTGCCATCAGCATCCTTGACCGGAATGACGGTGCTCTTAGCATTACCAACGCCGGCAGGGGTTGCCGCAGGGCGACCGGGAGCGCTGGGAAGAATACCGCGACGTCCCTGGGAGCCTACAACGTGAGTAGGCTGCTCGCCGTCACCAAGACCTCCGGGGAGTACGGAGCCGGGTCCGTAGGGAGATGAGATGCCAGGCTGAGGCATGACACCGCCAGCAGGCATGGGGCGAAGAACAGGCGGGACGCGACCAGAGGCGGGAGCAGGCGCAATGGGCTGGGGGTGCGATGAAGCCATCGTAGTCTGAGGCAGCATAGACTGAGTGCCATAGGCCTGAGGGGGAGGAGGGTATTGGCCCATCTGTTGGTAGGGACCGCCACGTCCGGCCTGGGGGGGCTGCTGCTGCTGGTAGGCAGGCATGTTGTTCGCAGAGCCCGGAGTGTTGGGGGTCGCGGGAGTGCGAGGAGTGTGAGGGTTGCTGCCGTACATCTGGTTCATGGCCGCGGAGGTCTGCGGCTGAAGAGGCGGCAGAGTCTGGTGAGGCAGAGGAGAGTTGGTGTGCTGAAGCTGGTGAGGCGTAATGGCGGGCGGCGACGGGTAGGAGGCCGAGGTCGTGTTTATACCATTGGTAGGGTACTGGGAAGCGTCCATGCTATCCGCGTGCAAATCTGATTGCCTTTTGTCGAGACAAAGGCGCACAGAGCTATAGTTGCTGTGAGGTGTCGAGACGCGTTCCTACGTCTGTACGGGACTCGTCGACGGCCTCGTGAAAAAATTGTGTGGGACAAGGACAATCAAGCCGTTACCCAATCGAAGATGATCCTCTGATTTTTCTTCACGAGGAGAAAAAGGAAATGCTCGAGTGGAAAGAGGATAATAGAGTAGAGTTCCTCAGGGACAAGATTCCACCAGTAGAAAGATGATGAAAGTCGCGAACCCAAGAAAAAGAGACAACACGCGAAGAGGTGTTGTTTTGTGAGAAGGTGGGTTTTGTGGTGGGATGAGGCTCCAGTTGATCCCGTTTGGAGGTGGTTTTGGAGAGGGTCGGGTGTGGAGCAGATGGGGCTCGATCCTTTTTATTTTTTTTCTCGCGTTGCTCTTTCGGCAAAAAACTGTCAGGTACCTGGCGCCGCCGAGAGGGGGTCAGAGAAAAAAAAAAGTGGTCTTGCCGGGGTGGATGCCGAGGGTGTGCAAAGAAGGAACCGTTGAGCAATGGTCACTCCGTCCAAAGAGGTGAAGGAAAAAAGGGAAGATGTGGGTTTGGACGTCGCCCCTTCTGGGAGGAGTGGATCCTGTCTGCTCTTTATGAAGGCCCTTTTTCGGAGAAAGTGTGGGAGGTTGGACCGTTGGTCGGCTAGGTTGGTTGACACCAAGGCGGACGATGGGAAGGTGTGGATGAGGGTTCGGTAGGTGAGGAAGGCAAGTGGGAGAACTTTCTTGGTAGGTGCGAAGGATACCTGAAATAGGTATCGGCTGGCAGGTAGGTTTTTTTTTTCTCCCTCTTGCTGGCAGGGAAGGAAGGTGCAACTGCAACTGTATGGCTACTGCGGACAGGCGCGGACAGGCAAGGACAGTATTGCTGCTGTGTGTGCAGATGGAAGACCAGAACAAGAAAGTTGGAGACCGCGGTCCAAGATCAAAGCATCTGTGAATGACGCCTGGTGTAAATTTTTTTCAGGGGGGTGTGTGTGTGGTAAAGTCAGAGGTGTGGGAGGTGAACGAGGGAGGGGAAAGGGACCCGTTTTCTTTCTTCTTTTTTTTTTTCGAGGGGCCTGTCCACTTGGGGCAAAGCGATTAATATCAGAGGATTTGCCGGATTCTAGATGTTCTGACCACAGGAATTGGCTTTTGGTTGTGTATGGAATTCTCGTCGAGTCAGACTTAACGGTATGGCAACGAATTGACGAGGAAGAAGAGGCCAAAAGATGAAAAACGAAGTAAGAGAAGAGAAAGATGGAAGGCAAAGGAACCTACCAAGGAGAAAGAAATTCAAATAAACACGAATAAGGAAGAATAAATTGGCAGGCAGAAACGGCAAGAGGTACATGTCGAGACGTACCTTCCGCCCTTCAGGAAAGACGAGAAAAATTTCGAGGGAAGCGCTTGCCAATGCCTGCCACGGAGGTGCTTGTACACAGGGCAAACACTGTGAGCATCAACTGTATGATCAGATACCGGAAGACAAGGCCCTGGATGGACTTGAATCAAGAGACGGTGGTGTGTGCTAGGGAAAGAAGCACCAGGGAAGGAAAGAGATGGTGAGGTAATGCGAACTGTCGGCTCGGTCATCTCCCAGGCGAGTGTCAAATTGAACCTATCCTGCCCTAGCTTGTCAGTTTCCATACATGGTCGCCCTGTCTACCTTGTCTACCTGTAGCCTGTCAACATTCCCACAGGCCCGCATCCTCCGGTATCGTTACCTCCAAACAGGGCGGTGACGCGAACTACCGTCCTCTCCTTTTTAGCGCCCATTATACGGCGATACGGACTTACAGGACAGTGCAAATTAGGTAGGTGGTGCAGCAGCAGCAGAGAAGGACTTTCCTTTCCGCAGATTGATAACATATTTTACACTTGAGGCTGCATTTTTCGACTGCACTGTGTCCAAGCCGAGCTTCTTGGTATAGGTGAGAGATAATCATTAGTGTAGAAAGAGGTGAGAAACAGGCATGAGATTATAAAAAAAAAAAAAAAAAAGCCTGCATTAGATCAACGGGCTATGCAATGTTGCCATTCATACCCTTCTTCATGCCCAACTACCCTACCACGCTTGCATTGGCCAAGTCACTTTCACAACGAGTCTCTGTCTCACCGTAAGTTGCTCACTTTAATAATACAATATTTTCTTGCGCATGCCTCTCTGCGTCTTCCTCATTAAAAGCTATTCCAATGCTTCAGGGAAACCCTCACCTCAGCCCATCTTCTTAATTCATGTCCATTAATGAGCCAATAAGGGGAGGGGGGTGAATCTTGCTCCCTCCCAGCACATATCCATCACGTCAAAGAAGGAGATAGACAAGCCCTTTCCTGTTCTCCTCTCTGCATTTCTTTCCTGACGGTGTGCTTGACGGACCATGCCAATGCCTGCCTGAGGTTTAGCTTACCTATCTACCTGCCTGCCCTGTCCTGTCTTGCTTGCCTACCAAGCGGAAAGAACTCCGCATCGCACACCTTCCTGAAAATGAAACTGCATTTGGGCCTGCTTGGTTCTGCTGCACCTGCACCACTGTATCGTAAGGTATCGTATTTGCATCGCATCACAAGGTAGGGGGAAGCCAGTGCACTCGTCACGTCCGTCCACACTATCTGTGCCTGCCGAGCGGATGCAGACGCTTCCTTGTTGTTGCCAACTTGGAAGTCACTACCTCCCAGCCGTCCACTTTTTCTTTTTTTTCTTTTCCACACCTTCCATGCCTTCCATGTCTTCCATGACCCCCTTCCTTCTGTGACCTTCCCAGTCATTGCTCCTCGTACGCCGTTGCCCCGAAGCAGTAAAGCACCCACCCCCAAACTCCAAGGGAATTCGGGTCGGCAGGTAGGTAGGCCCCAACATGCCCCAAGTCCCAGGCCCCAGGAACTTTCGAGATTGAGATTTCCTCGCATCAGCCCAACATCCACACAAGCTGTCCATCACCTCAAGGTCCCCACGCTACCTGTGCTGTCGTAGCTGCATGGCACACCACAAGCTGTTCACTTTACAGGTGACGGTTTCCACTAATGGTGCCTGTGCAGCGCTCCCTCCCGCTCCTGTTGTGGCCCTGTCCCCTCCCTATCCCGCTCATCGCCAAACCCTCGAGGGCACCCCCGTCTATCCCCTCTTTCTGCTCCTCTACGTAGTCTGTTTCTCCTCCTCCTCTTCCTCCTCATCGCCCCAGCCCCAACTCCCGTTTCTTCAGGGTGAGGATACGTGCGTGAGTGGATTGATTCCACCTGCATGCCAGCACACGCCAACAGATGTGATGAACCCTTATTCTTGTCTCTTTCCCGTCCAATTGCGCATATATCGTGCCGCTTTTCATCCTCCCAAGACTAGCTCGTGAGATCGACTGTCTCTGGGAATGTGCTAGTCTCCGTTCTTAGGTGTCCTTGGATACCGCATATCCCCTTCCGTTCGCCCTACGCATTTGACACGCCCGCGACACACGATACGTGCAGTTGAATCACTCTAATTCGCCTTCCAGCGGCTTATCCTATGACAAGCTTGCGCCAGAAAAGAAAAAAAAAACAATGAACACACGACAAACCCCTGCTCTCATACCTTCAGTAGAAGCTTCATTACTAACTGATGACGCCCACTGCCTGGAGCACCCATGCTGGGCTACTTCAACAAAGCACACACACGAACAACAGTATAGCATAAACACCCTGACGGTGCAAAACTGAGACCGAGCATTCAAACCTCCAGTAGGGCGAAGTACCTACCACATCATGGTGTTGCCTGTAACGGTCGACTTTCCAGGGTGCCTTCAAATCGGGCAAGGTCGCCCTACTACATAGACCCTGCTCTACCAAAAATGATGAGACGATGGCGAACCCTGCAAGCGTCACGGCCGCCACACGCGAATCGAGGTAGGATTTCAGTGTACCATTAACCACTGTACGGCTACGGCACGCACAAATGTATGTGTACCTTACCTGAACAGCTCAGAGTGGGATAGGCCAGGGTAGGGCAGGGCAAGACAAGGTAGGGCACCCTGCTGCTGCCACCACCACCGCCGCCGCCTCAAAGATCCGAGGTACCCGCCAGCTGCATCTTACGAGGATCGACCCCTGCTTAATGGATGCATCAGGAGCAAGGATACAGATGCGTGGGTGTAGGAGAATGGGCGGCATTCGTCCCTCATTTCTGGTTCTGGAATTGCGCTTGGCGCTGGCTGTCTGCTGCAGAATAAACACTTGTCAGGGATATGGCTGTGTCAAACGCTGGCGGCACAAGAAAAAAACCGCTCAAAAATCTGCCATCAACCCTATAATGCCATTTTCGGCGTCATGTATTACGATAATGGCGATGGTCGGCTCATTTGGCATTTGGCATGCCGACTGACGCCAAAGAAGAAACGTATATCCTTACGGCGACGTGCTCCTACGGCAGCCGGAACGCGGACATGCTCCGAACGGCCTGCTCCACGCATGGGGCGACTCAATCCTGAAAGTCCAATATTGCCGGCATCACGCCGCTTGCACAAATTCAACGCCTCCAAGACGTAAAGTACAGAAAGTGGGCACCTTCGGGACCGAGTACCGACGAGCACAAGATGCCAAGCACTTTATTGACCTTCCTACCATCCAGCGAGGTGCAGGAATCGGATGGCCGGGGGTGCCGTCACTCGATAGAGCCGGTTGATTTCCACCCAAGACAAAAGCGCATCATGCAAAAATGATTCGCTGCAGCACCTTGGAACTTGCACAACTGCTACCCCTCGTGAGCTTCACAATTTCCTCACTTTGACGTATGTTGCCCATGTCTCTTCCATCTTCTGTTGAGGCACCGGCAATGTTCGGAGTCTTTGCCCGAAGCGTCCCAATCAAATAGTGCAACCGGTTGGTAGCGCTGACCGATTTCGTCCCTAGCCAGGCCAATTCTCAAGACACTGTTCTAATCGTCCAGGGTGCCGGTGACCCTTGTCCTCTTTGGCTCTCACTAATCATAA